ACAATAAAAGTGGTAATCAAACATCCGGAATTTTAATTATGCAATAGTAAAAGATACTAAAGGGAATGTCAGCGAGACTATAATTTATGGACGAACCAATCAGATATAAGATAACGCAGTCACGAATTTTGGTGCGAAATTCATCTGTACATTTGGCTAAATGAATTTTTGGCACTATAGCTGATGTCAGTTCGTGATGAAAACCCTAAATCTGGTTTTTAACCCTAACCATCAACTGTAAATGAGAATTCTAACTGCTTTATAATCCTTATTTAATCCTAATCAGTAGGTGTCCACCCTCAGGCTCACTTCAGCGTCACTCAACGGTCGTCCATAAATTATAGTCTCACCGGAATCTCTTAAAACTACTTTTCAAAAAGCAGTCACAATTACCTCTGATTACGTATTTTAGCTTCGTCTTTAATTTAAAAATAAAAATTGTTTTTCATTCTAGGCAACTTACATTTTCAGGAATAAAACTGATGAAGTTTAAGACTAATTTAATTAGCACAAATAAATATCGAATAATATTGTCACATTACTTTCAAATATTTCCTCATAAGATGACGCAATTTTTATTTTCAGTTAACTAGAGCATTTATGTATTAGTTCAATTATTCAGTTGATTTTGTTTCTAGTAACTAATATTGTAGATAGGAATGTGTATACTAACGGACACAGTAGTGACACAATCCGTTCTTTTTTTCTGGGCCACCATATCTTATTTTGTCTCATTTCACTTATTATCTCATCACCTTCTTCTGACTGTTGAGTTTTTTGAAGCAAATAACTTGTGAAGGTTTGTTCGCAGTGCGAAACCAAATATGGGTTAAAAAATTAATCAAATTCATGGAGCAGTTTGTATGCATTACTAGCCGGAAACCATTTTTAAATTAAACAGATTCAAACAAAGATATTTGTTTCGATAGTGATTTTGTTTGATAGTAGATAAATTTAAGATAGTGCGTTGAAGTTATAATTCAATTGTATGAATTGAGAAGTTATTTAATGTGCTGAAAATAAAGCAGTAATTCGTCAGTGACATCGTCCAGTGACAGAATTCTTGTGATTTGCTCAATGTAGATCAACAGCTTTTAATGGTTCAGTATGGGATATCAGTTAATATTTCAAGGTTTATTCATGTGTATCTACCAAAAGAATAAAAGAACACAATATATATAGTCATAGAGTTTCTTGTAATTTCACTACGCGAAGTAGTGCAAGTCGGATGTAGTTTGCCAAACCTCTTTATATCCATTTTATTGTCACATATATAATTGATAAGTTTTAACATATTAGAGATGCGATTTATGTGAATAAATAAAAAATTCTACTCAAAAATGATTTGGTACAAATCGTAAGTAGATGTATTTCAAGTCATATTTTATATTACATTGTACCAAAACGCAATTTTCAAACCTATACATTGCACTACTTGTAAGTAGTATAGGGTAATATTTTGTTTTTAATGCCAAAGACCAGCCTCAAAATATGTGTACGAATGTTCTAACCAAAAACCAAAGCTGGTGTAATCGAATAATCGTAAGGTGGTAAACCACTTGAAAATAGCCGTAAACTCTGATTGATGAGTTTCAATTCAACGGAGCTCATCACGAAATCAAAAAAATATCAGGTTCAATCTCTTATGGGGTTGTAAAGCTACACTAATTATTCACCAACTATGACAAATCTGATGATCACTGTTTTTGGATTTATGGCCGCTTGCCATTTTCCAATTACAGTTACTCTGAAATCTTCATAAATTACCTACCTAATTAGTATGCAAATCTTAATATGTGTTTGCAATTGAATTTCAAGAATATAATTGATTTATCTTTTTAATATAAGGGATCATGAATAGATTGACTCAGTATAGCCTTTCTGTTATGCATCCAATATTCTACAGCAGGCCGCAACTCAAATAAATTAACATGTTAATCTGTTTATCAATGTTACTAGAACAATGATAGATGAGCATATCTAAACAAAAATGCCACATTCTAAATGTATGAATATAAATGAAGTGTCCATTAAAATATCACTAAAATATAGAGATGTTGAATAACCAAGAAGTTCGAACCTTCTGTTTCTTAAGTAGGTGGGCATGTTCAGAACTTACTGAAAAGAAATGTAACATAAATTGACTACAGTCAAAAATATAAATCATTGGATTCTCGCTAATCGGTTTATAAATATCGCCCTCGTCACAACACCTTAAGGTCCAAGATTCTTTTCCATGTAAGTTGATAGTTGACCACAACTGGTGAGTCTAAAGCAGAAATGAATCAGTCTTCCATGGTTTCCTGATTTTCAGTAATTCTTCAGCCGGTCTCGGCCCATAACAAAAATTATCTTCAAAATTTTTCATATCTTTCCACAAAATCTCGAACCATGTTCAAGAGCGATTTTTTTACTGTACTGATTTTACATCAATTTGATGGATAGTTTGATGAATGAATGATTTCCAGAATCCTTTCAAAATAAAACATAAGTAATTAAAGTATATATGCTAGAAAACATTCAATTTTGACTATGGTGATAGTTTCCTAAAGCAGTGAACATGTTTTATTCTGATTGTGAATGAATACAGGAATGGGCAAGTGAGAAGTGTTCAACAAGTAGAAAAAATACTTGGTTTTGTTTAGATTTCCACAGTTAATCAATCAATACAGATTTACAATTTATTGATGGATCGAATCATGTTAAAATACATCTAATGGATTGTAAATAATAACATGAAAGCCACCCAAACAGCAGTTTAAATAATATCATTTTTCTGAACACCTAAACATCATATAAGTAAAGACATACAATTAACTCATCGACTGACATGTTGTATCACTACAGACTAAACAATAAATGTGTATAATATTTATCAAAAATATACTTGTTACTATTGTGATTTAAAAAATTATTGTTTCAAGTCTGGATCTATTCGAAATACGTTTGGTATGCATTTTCTAAACATTGTCACATAACACTAACATGTACACTGATAGAAAAAAATGCTGAATCAAGCATGAACAAAATGATAATACATGAGAATGTACCTAATTGTTTACTAGACAAACTATTTGTGTGAACACTGTAAAATGCAAATAAAGTTAAAACGGTTGAGTGAAACATTAAAACTAAGTATTTTATGCACACCAAAGGTTCTAAAACGCTGATTACGATTGCAGTGATTAGGTCATGAAGTAAATGAACACAAGTTAATGATTATTACACAACCATACAATTTTAGTCATACAGTCTATTGTTATCATTCTAATCAACGTCTCTACAAACTTCTTTTGGATGTAATGTTGTGGTAACTTCATTTTTCAATGTTTAATTTCATTTTTATCTTTGCTACGTTATAATGATGTTGTGGTGTACGTTACTGATGTCGATAGATGTAAGTAGTATGTATCATCAACCTAAAGTCAAATGCCTGGAGGCAGAAGTTTAACAAGATCAAAGAAAAAAGAACGAGACCAAAGAATGATTGGCGTGGAAACAAAGGGACAATGAAGTCTGAGACGATTGACTGATGTCCTGCAAATCCAGTATTTACTGTGTGGTTCTCAGATTTTACTAAGACATTCTGCAGTTTTGTCCTCACTTGTGTTCTCGTTCACTACGATATATCTTTACATTAACTTCTGAATAAATCTATTCCCGTAAGCATGTAAAATTTCATTTGTGATTTTTAATACTAAAATATTACATGTTCTGAGCAACTGATAACAACCAAATCGTTGTTCCTCTCATAGTCGTATTAGAGAACCATGAGTATAAAAATCTGTTAGAAATAAAACTGAATACTTTCTGATTAAAACAGTAAATAAGCTAGGATCAGAGGGCAGAATTTAAATGGTACATACTGTACAACTCTAGTTTTTCCGCGAAAAATCTTGGCTTTTATGTAATCAGTGTATCTGTTCCCACTTATAATTCCGTTGGCTCAACAGATCGCAAGTGATTAGCAAATAGAATATTTCAACAATTAAACGAAATCACAATCACCAATATGAACGAGTTCTTTTGTGTGTAGAAATTAAGTAGTAAAAGTTGCTTAAAATTACATTTCGTTGAAAGTTTGTAACAATTTCAAAGTTTCTTTCCTAATTACATTTTAACTACTCAACAAAATGACTTTTTTAATAGTTAAGATCATGATTCAATTGAAGCTAGACTACCATGGGAAACCTGGAAGAACTGGACGGCCGTCTCCTCCTACTGTAAGACTTTACAGCAGTGCGCATCTACGATCCCGCCCCACGTGAGATTCGAACTTAGGACCTATCAGTCTCGTGAGAGAGCGCTTAACCATTAGACCACTGAGTCGTCATCCAGCGGTGTTAATGTCTAACTTAAACTAAACCACGAAATTGAGCGACACATCCACCATCAGTGAGTTACCATCTCACAACAGACCTGGTTGAACTCCACTGGTCGCTGCTTCTCACTAGAACTCCAGGAAATACTTTTTGGAGATCGTCACTATTGAGCATATGTTGATTAATATCAGAAGGGTTTTCGTGGATAGTATAGTAATTTTAATAGTTGAAATCATGAGTCAATTGAAGCTAGACCACCATGGAGAACCTGGAAGCATTGGAAGGCCGTTTCGCCCTACTGTAGGACTCCTCAGTAGTTCGCATTCACGATTCTGCCTCGTGAGATTCGAGTTTTTTTTAAACCAGTAATCAAATATTTATATTTACAAATCATAGATTGTTTCACATTTTAAAAAACATCAGGATTTTAAAAAATACACAATCAAATATTACATATCGTGTTATATATTAATAAGTATACAAAATATTAAAGCGATAATTAGAAACATACTTCAAACAAGTATAAAATAATGTAATAAAAAATACAACACGTTACAAGATGTTCATTATGAATTAGACATTATTTCCATCTACAAAACAAGAGGTATATATAAGAAACTTAATTATATAGAAAGACAGTCCATTGCTCATATAAATACACAAATGTATGTTTATGTTTTACGAATGTATTTCAGGTAAACAAAATGGATCAGCATAATGTCCAATAATTTGATTATTTCTAGAAAATAATGTACAATATTCTTTACATGTTCTACATTGTATATCAGAAAATTTTAATTGAGAATAATCTTTTGAAGAGATTATACTGGATTGACGTTGAAAACAACAATCTACATTAGATGTTAGATCTTTAACCATCATTACCAAACAATCAATATGCATCACATTTGAACAACCTGGATTGATACACTACAATACAAAAGAAACAAAGAAATACAAATATTATAGATACCATAACAAGAAAAAAATATAGTTAGATAAAGGAAAAAGATATATTTACTTCCGAATTTAATATTAAGCCAAACGCTATTTTTATTTTTTGTATGAAAGAATGATAATAATTATTTGAGTAAGCCTGTTCCCTATTATCAGGTATGGGTCACTGACCCCTCCTGGGTTCTCCTTTCCGCTTTCGCCAAGTGCGATTCATGCTCTGATGTCTGTCTTCGATTTTCGACCCAATGTATTGTTTGGTCTGCGTCTTTTCCTTTTCCCTTTTGGATTCGAAGTTAGGGTGTGCCTTGTGATCTAGTCTGATGATTTCCGCAAGGCATATCTTAGATACAGCTGAAGTCTTTACCTTATTTCCTCCTCAGTTGGAAGTTGGTTTTTTCTCTGCCCCAGTCAGTTACTGCTGATGATCTCTGGTCAATGGATCTGAGTATCCTGTATAAACGGCTATTTATAAGTATCCGTAATTTTTTGATGATGGTTGTGGTAATTCTCCGAGTTTCAGCCCCGTCTAATACAACTGTTTTAATGTTGGTGCTTAAGATTCTGATTTTGGTCTTGAGTGACAGTTCCTCTAAGTTCCACATACTCTTTAATTGCAGAACTGCTTCCCTTGCTACGCCGACTATTGCCTTGAAATCAGCATCAGATCATCCGTGTTTATCGATGATGCTACCTAGGTATGTAAAGGCTTCCACCTATTAAATTAAGCGTGAGTTTATTTTTGCCTGCTGTTTTGTATTTCAGAATCCTCTCTTTTCCTTTGTGAATGTTGAGGCCTACTACTATTGTGATTTTACACGGCTTCCTACACTGAGGTAATAGGTGGGAGAAAGCAAGGTTTGAAGACATGACTTGAAAGCTGAAAGTCAAGTGCTTTGAACACCATACCATTATTCCAAAAAGTAATTATTTAGGGGGAAGTACGAGACAATTAGCGTGAATTGAAGGGAGAGAAGTATCAGTAATCTACACTTGGCGTAACTGGAAATCAAGCACTTAAACCTAGATTTATTAAATGACTTGGATTATATTACACAAACTACCATGGAAACATATTTTCAGTAAACTAGCCAGAAACATTATCTAGTTACCACTTTGTTATCTACAACATACAATAATCTGATAACTCTTTCCTTACGAGTTTACTATATTTTTCCTAAAAATATAATTGTTTTTTAAATCAGTCTGAGAGTGATCCTCCTTGTAGAATGACATAGGCGACAGCTGCTAAATAGACATCAAAATTTATTTATTAAACTCAACGAACAATATTATCGAGATATCTACAAGCATAATATGATGCTCTACTTAATCTTAGATTTCTGAATCTGTACAATAACGTATGATACTTTGAAGATAAAACTATAAATCACCTAGCCAATTTGTCAATTAGAATAGCGAAACAGTAAAATACTCTGTTATCCAAGTTATATACAAGTTTACTTACTCGTTTATAAGTAGTAAATTCATGTGTCCATATTGGTTTATTTAAGTCACCACAAAAATCACAGATTAACGCTCTTCGTCTACACGCTTTACATGTACGTACATGTGCTAAAGCAACATTTTCAATAGTATTTCTAAGTAGTTCTTCTAATTTTGAAGACTGTACAAGTATTAAATCCTAAAAAATACATATATAACAAGTAGTACCAGAGGAATGAGCGATTGTACAAAGATATGCTGATTAAACAACCAAAAAATAGGTAAGTGAGTGAAGCATACGATAAATATATCCGACGCAATTTAATCATGCATTTTACATGATGAACTGACCTCAGTTAAACAACTGTTGAAAACTAGGAAGCACTGTACATCTGTTTCATTCTAGTATGGGACCTGAAAGCCTTGTGTAAGATCTCCAGTGAGATCCTGGATGTGTATTGCTGATAAGTTTTACGATAAGGCGAAACAGGTATTCCGAATCTTCCTGGTATACAATGGTTGCCTAATCAAAGTCAGTCCATGATGTAAACTGCAAAACTCAAAAATCTCCACATATCTCCAATACTATCATTGTAAAGTTAATCCGAATGATTTGTATGTTCTATTCTTCAGTTTACAGACGGACAAGTGTAAATTGCACTGAAATGATATATATCAGAATGTTTGAAAGAAAACAGAGACATAGAAAGTTTTCAGTTATGGAAATGACGACGGAATTGTGAAATTCGATAATCTAATATCAAGGTAATAGTAAAGTGATTTTGTTTGTAAATATCACAGTATATGCTGCACAGAATATTTAGGAAGATGGAAATGTAAAACTGTGTGAAAGTAACGTGAAGAAATCCTTATCGCCTTTCTGGATTCCTACTTTACTAATTCATTTATTATTCACTAGATAACTGATCAAATGATTTGTTTAAGAAGCTACCATGAACAAAGCAGAGTTAAGCACTATCCCGATAGGAAAAAGTAAGCATTTAACCTGTTTCACTCTTTCATTTTCAACCATGATGATAAAAATAAAAAGGATTTTTTTCAACTGATTCTAAATGTTTCAAGCAACACATAAAGATCTTTCTATTTGGATACAAAAGCCATTTTCACAATTCTGATTGTCTTAGTCTTATAGTACAGTCATATATAATTGGATTTATTCTTTAATTTATCTATAGAGAAATGATATTCTGCATCTATTGAGACCACAAACCGATCCAAGTTACACAACCATTGAAAACCTGAGAGAACTGGACGACCATTTCATCCTAGTATGAGACTCCTTAGAAGTGCGCATCCATAATCCCAAAAACAGGGACCAAACGTAGAACCTCCGATCTCCTGTGAGAATGCTTACCTCCTAAACCACTGAAAAGGGATTTGATGATGTACAAGTCTTACTTCAATCCATAATCAAATCTACTTTATTCTAATAAACAGCTGAAAGAAAAATAAACTAATGACAGAAATATCGCTAAATTAAATATCATGTTTTTTTATTATAAAAAAAGAGGTGAACTGGAATTTATAACAACAAACATACCTCAATTGAATATATATCAATATCCGTGATATTTTGTAGCATATACATTCGACCATCCATACATTCACATAGTTTTTCAGCTGTTTTACCATCACATCTAATTATTTGATCCCATAATAAAACTAAAGTACGTCGAAGTTGTCTAATTAAATATAAATTTGGTATAGTAGCATAAAGAATAGGATTTAATTTAGCTAAATTTATAACTGGTCTATTATGTAATGCACTAAGAAATTGATGTGTGATTTGACAAACTGCAATTACAAGATAAATTTCAAAGAAAGAAAAAAATTAAGGGAGAGGGAGAAGAATAAACAATTGTAATGTTACAATAGTTGAAATCATGAGTCAATTGAAGCTAGACCATCATGGAAAACCTGGAAGCACTGAACGGCCGTTTCGTCCTAGTGTAAAACTCCTCAGCGGTGCGCATCTACGGTCTCACCCCCCGCGAGATTCGGATCCAGGACCTATCAGTCTCGCGAACAAGCGTTTAACCACTGGACCACTGGGCCGATGTCCAACGGTGTTAATGTCTAACTTCAACCAATCCACAAAATTTACAATCAGGTCTGTTGTGAGATATCAGCTCACTGAAGACAATGGTGTACAGTGGCACAATTTCGTGGAGTGGTTGAAGTTAGACATTAACACCGTTGGACATCGGCCCAGTGGTCCAGTGGTTAAACGCTTGTGCGCGAGACTGATAGGTCCTGGGTCCGAATCTCGCGGGGGGTGAGACCGTAGATGCGCACCTCTGAGGAGTTCCACACTAGGACGAAACGGCCGTTCAGTGCTTCCAGGTTTTCCATGATGGTCTAGCTTCAATTGACTCATGATTTCAACTATTGAAATTACTAAGATCTCCACAAAACCCCATCTGATAATTGTAATATTAATTGAATGTTAACATTAAGAAAACTTCATTACAAGCGAAAAAAATGTAATTATAAAATTCGATTTTATGCTAGTGTGTAACTTATTTGTCAAGTGTATAGGTTAATGTGCTCAGATTTAAACTTTGCTTTTCGTTATATATACGTGTGAGAGAGTGAGAGAGATAAAGTAATTGACGCTATTTCAACTAGTCAAACTGAATTACTAGAAGTGAATTAGATAATTAATTTTTTATTATAAAATCATAGCCAATTTTAAGTAAAGTTATACAATGTAGAAAGAAACTAGATTAAATTCTTCAAATCATGTCATCGTCGAATCATTTTAGAAACAAAAGAAAAAAACTAAAGAAATCAACTACTCATAGTCTGACAAGACGAAACAGAATGGTCGATTGTGTTAACGTTTTCAATATTAATATATTGTGTTAAGAAATAAAGCAGATACAAAGTTTATCAACTGAATATTCCACCTAAAAATGATAATTTTATACGATTAGTCAATTAAATAAGGATATCTAAACAAAGTTGGAAGTTGAAAGAGGAATATTCCTCAATCAGTCAATGCAGTCAACAAATCATTGACAAACAGTTATACCTGTACTTTTAATGAAATATCTATATTAGGTTACATAAGAACATCAAAGTGACATTTATTTCACCTCTAGATCAGTTTTCTAAAGTTATGGTCTATACAGTCAATCAAGTAGGGAATGAAACAGATATCCGCTAGTAGTGACACTAAATGAGGATCAAATTTGAAAATAAGGTCAGAAATGTACTCACTCAATGACTAAGACATATTATAGTTGCGACAAAAGCTAAAGGTTCAGAGTTTGATTCTGTTTGGGATTATACTGTGATAATTGATTGTTTTGTACACACGAAATGACAATTTTTATCACCTAAAATACATATTCAATCAATCGTCCAGTGGTTCCATAAGCAAATTACCAGTCCAATTCTATTAGCTATCCATTTAGGATATTAAATTAATTATCCCGTAGTAACAGACATTAATTATTGAATAGAATCATGTTTTTTGGATAATGTTCACCATTATTTCAGACTAGTTATCTGAATGCACCTCCATCCTAGTGTTGATCTTCACACTGGAACTCGGACTTGTGACCTATCGTTTAAAATACCAAAGAGCTACTAACTGAATTATATTAGCCATCAATGTATTCAACAGGATCCAAAGAATTTCAACCAAGGAATGATCTAATTCACTCATCGCTCTCGATAAGAAAAACAATGGAAATTCACACAATTTCAATAAGATTGATTTTATGTGATAATCAATAAGAAATAGAGAACAACAACAACAACAACAGTATACCTGGTTTAAGTGAAAAATCCCAATTCATTATAAGATTACGAGGAATAATTGCTTCTTGTAACTGATGGCAATTAATACAATAAAAACAAGCATCATAATGATCCAGGAAAGCATTATCTAAATTTGTATAAATTAAAGAAGGCGAAGATTCGAAAGCGAAGATAATAATTAAAACAAAAGTGAAGAAAGGCAACAAATTTAACTTAAACATAAATTCAAATGATATGAAAGAAACAACTGAATTTTTATGTAATAACTAACTTTTAGATAATTTTGTTTTTGTTAACTCATAAAATTTCAAAATGAATTACAAACTAACAATGACATAATGGAGTTTCGGATATAAACTATTGTCTATTTAACAATAAGAATCAAGTTCAAAGATTGGAATAATTGAGATATTAAAGAACTATGTGAGATTAAGATTGTGAGTCGAGCTGTTGCAAATTTGAACTATAAATTTATAAGAATTCAAGAAATAAATCTGTGATTGTAAACAAAGTTATGAATAATGACTATCGTAAGAAAATTGTTAATGTAGTCCACATTGACTAGAAATCCATGAATTAGTGTCTATGCATATGAGTAATGTTTCAATAAAGCTGATTCACTTAAATATTTTAAATGTGAAGCGATACCAACAGAATAACCAATGGAAACCAGAAACTATTAGTTTGTCGGTTTATATAAGTCTGAGACTCCTTGAATAGCACGCATCTTTAACGATAACCCGTCACTAACTTCATGAGGGGTAATTAGGTATTTAGCCACTAGATTCTAACCTAATCGATTACTACTAAAAATAAAGTTAATTTACAATATTTTATGTAAAGTTTTTTACTAATCAATTACGCATTACGATTGTATGACTTCATTTGATGATTATTATATTACCAACATGTTTCATAATTAATGGAAAATAAAATTTGACCTTTTCAAAGACTTTAACGAATGCAGAAGCATAACTTTTGATTTGAGGGTTTCCCGCCAAATATCAACAACTAATTAACATCAAATAGAATCCCTATGTCAATTCACGTGACCTAGAGGTCACATTGCGAATTCGATCGATAGGAGTCAGTCAGCATTGATAACTAAAGTTTAGTGCAAACTGCTACTTAAAAAAGGAGACTTAACTCTATACGTTTAGGGTTTCTCACCATGTTTCTCGAATAATTCACAACAACGTTAGATATACAGGTAATCAATATATCTAACTATATTACCGGTATGGGGTTGTGGAGATTGTTAAGTTTTTAATTGAGATCGTGTACCGATATGGGATTGATTGGAGTTAGACATTAAGACCATTGGATGCCGGCTGTCGTTCGCACGTGAGATCGAAGGTTCATGGTTCAAATCCAACGTGCAGGATCGTGGATAAGCACTGTTGAGGAGTCCCACACCAGGATCAAACGTCCGTTCAGTGCTTTCAGTTTTTCAATGATGGTCTAACATTGATCGATTCATGATCTAAATTAATTCATAAAAAGCTATATATATTCATTGAGAGGGAGAGATATTAAACATCTGATAGGACATAGGAACAGCTAGTACGAATTCTAAGTGGACTGGTGCGTATAATTTATAGAGAATTAAGAATTTTCACTGGTTGAATCAATTTGGAAAATGCATTAGTTCATTAGATAAACTGATAGATTACAAATTATACAGTATCATGTGGTAACATCAAAAATTAAAAGTAAATGAAAGTCCTAGGTTCGAACTTTGGTAAGGTCGTGGATGCACAGTATTAACGAGTTTGATATTAGTGAAAGTTATCTGTCCAGTGCTTTTAGCTTTTCAATGTTTGTTTGAAGTCAATCTTCAATGCAAACTATAAAATTAACAGTTGATTATGACATTTTGATGATTCTCATTGTAAATGAATGTCAATTTTATTATTTTAAGTAGACAAAACTTAACTGGTATAAAATACCAGTTAAGCAAAACAAACTATTTAGTGAGCAGTAAGTAAACAATAGTATTAAGCACATACTTGGTTTCAGACGATCGGAACAACGTTTACAACATCCATAGAACACAGAGTTTTCTCCATTTCCATATTCAAATTTACATGCTCCAGGAAATATATCAACCAACCGTGAAACATCCTAAATTTTGTTTTCAACAACAAAAAATAATGCTAACATAGAATAAAAAATCAAGATATCTAAATAGTTCTATTTAAGTAACTGATGGAAATATCACACATTGAAATGAATAAACCAATGTTAAAGAGTGGTAATGATTGATTAAATTCAAACCATTAAGTTATGAGTGAAAACAACAACACATAACAACTAAATTATATCTTGTCTGTTGAATCACATACGGTTTAATATACTTGGCCTTGAAAAGTACTTTACATATTAAAAGTAGTAATATTACCATAATGTTTAAACTGGAGAAAAAAAATGATGGAACGGAATTTGAACCTGTGACTCGATGTTAAAAATTTGAATGAAACTTAGACATTTCATATGTTGAGATACTTTTATTGATTAACGTTCTTAATTGACTAACCTATATATGTAGGAGGAGAGAGTGAGAATAATTATTTGACAATAATTTGTTTTATCCCATCGGATTCTTATTAGATGTCTAAAACTTTTAGGATTCGAATATCCGTAAAGCGAATTCATTTTTAACATTTTATGATTAAAGTTGATCACCAATGAACGTTAATATGTCAGTATAATAGATAGTTAGAATCATAAAAACCCAAGCAAAAACTAAGAATGATTAAGAGGCTACAACTGAGTATCATATTTGGTGGGAACTTCTATAAAATCTAATTTAGAAAATCACTTAAGTGCTTAAAGATGAAAATTTGTTAGAAACTCGGTTGGGTTATGTTATGAAGATCTGGAGTTATAATTACTGTTAAGTTGTCAATGTTGATGATTGAAGAAAATCTACATACTTCCTTATTATTATTAGGCTTTTCATTTCTATGACAGAATTTTGAGAACCAGTTGTAAACTGTACGTTCACCAACAGATTATTAGTTTACCAAAAAGAATAGTATAAACTTTTATCAATTTGTTTAGGATTATGGACTGATAAGAACCTACAAAACACTTGTCCATATCAGATGTTGTTTACGGTGAAACTGAAGAATGAAGGTAACTTTCAGTCACGAAGTTAAAAAACTCGCCTTCAGTTGTTTAGGCCAGAACGGTCGGGTAGTATTACTGATCCAAAAACAAACAGCGCGAATTAAAGCTTAGTACATAAAAATGTACCTAACAATGATGGATGAAGACGACAGACATGAATTGAAATCATTAGAATTAGCCAAGGTAGAACCTGGAACATGTGTACATCAGTTCAAGTTATCAAACCTCATTAGCACGGCAAGGCGAATTTACTGTATACAATGATGTCTCGTATAACTATAAAAAAGGATAATGGTAATCAGAAAACCCCATTTCAAATGTGAAGAGACGAAAATCATAAATATTTCTGCACCATGGATTAATTAAGTCAAAAAGGGCGTTTGTTTGTGTAACTATCAGAAGTCACAATCCAATGGCGCAACATGGTTAAAATAGAAACGTAACAATAATTGGACACCACATCATGTTTCCTAACCAGACCGAAATATTTTCTTAAAAGTTTATTGCAATTCATCTACCGACAACAATTTTATGCATCCATAGTATTGTTTAAGCGAAAGTAAGATAACAAACAGATTACCTCCTCGGTAATATCTAATAACAAATCCTCACCAACTATATCCCAATTGTTATCCTGTGGAATTGTAGTTTTCAAAAAAGAGAAAAGAAAAATGAAATATTACTAGGGAGAAGGTCATCGATTTAAACAAATCCTACAGAGACAAAACACACGTAGATAACTCAAAAAAATCAAAAAATGAGCCTGATAAACACAAAACTTTTGGTAAATCCAGATTTACAACACGGTCAAAAGTTTATGCTTATTATTTGTAAAATCGTTTACATTTCTGTTTGTGAGTTTAAAAAACTGCTCAGCTATCTAGATCGAGATAGACAGTGCAATTGACGGGTCATAAATATAGATATCATCCGAAACATTATTACCAAAAATATGTAGCTACGTTGGTTGTAATAAACAACAATTTTATCGCGTGAAATTGTTTAAAAATTTTACCACATATCAGAATACAAACCAAATTGGGATAGCGGATCAGGATTCTTTGTAATTGTGCCAATGATTAAAATGTATACTATTCTAACACTCACTAACCTCATTTGTTAAAGATTCTGTAGATACATTCGTATTCCCTTCTGCAACCAATGTGATTGAATCAGAAGGTTTAGCTGTTTAATTTCAAAAAATATATAAAAATAAAGTGTCACTCAACTTTTCGGTGGGAAAATACTGCAATAAATTTTTATCTAAAATACATTGCCTTGCTTTTATTCTTGAACTCTGACAATATTCAATACTATAGTGTATATCAGGGTTGAGCTAAGAAACTTTCAGATATCCGGACGAATACATACCTAAAGACATCAAGTTACAGAGATCTAATGCACGAACTCATTTGGAATTTTAAGTTATTCACAAGTGAAACCTCTGGATTTTCGCAATTAAGTTTATTTTCGAAGTGCAGTCATATTTTATTTGCTTTGAAGAAGTGACTTATATAAAGTCAACAAACGTCGGAAAAACAATTTTATACTAATTGCAATATCACAAAAATACTTATTATTACAAATATTTAAAACTTTCTAGAGTATTAATAATAGGTGTGACAACTTAAATAAAATTATTCTGTCCTTAACATTTCGATACATAAATTTGAGCACGAAACAAGTGAAAAATTGTATATTACAACCAATACTAGTAGGCAAGACGATTTAAAATCAACGGTACAGATTCACAAATACTTACTACCTAAATTATGGTTAATTGTGGTAAACAATGGGACAAAAGCACACTATATTTTAAAAATCATTACGAAGATCAGTACTATTGGTTACTTCGTTCACACGCTGAGTCCAAAGTTAAATTGAATAAAGGGAGTAATTTTTAATGATTCCGATAAGATCACAAAATATTCTATCATTTCTATAAAATAATTAGGTTAATTTATTATTGACATGTATCTATTGTAAAAGTACTCGTTTGTCGGTCTTAAATACAAAGTATTGTTTTTTAATGAGCTAAATATAACAACATTGAAACTAACAGATAAACACAAGTCTATTACTACTAATACTGTTACCACTTTTGATACTCTAAGATTTGCGCTTACAGTTTCACCCTCCCGTGCTAATTGGTTATTGTAACTAAACATATGCACCAGGTTCAACGTTGTGTTTGACAGGCTGGTATATGTTGGAGTGGATGTTATAGGAATATAGTAGTAATTATGTCTCGATTACGACCAGGTTCATGAAATATAACTCCTCTAAATAACATACCAAATGGAAAGCACATGATACTTGGATAAAGCAAGATGAGAATAACTTTTGTCCAACGTCCGCTTTGTACAAAAGGATGAATTTTTGGATGAAATCCCAGTATATACGTAAGATTTTTTACAGTGATGAGCAAAATTTTTCTTTTTACGAGCACTTTCAGATAAAATCAATTGATATAAGACCAGAACAAAGTTGTAGAGGTAAATAAATCTCCAAACTAAATAGTCCTGTAAGTTTTCGACACTGATACTGACCTCATTAGTTTTACTGCACACCTTAGATGAATGCGCTCGGTCAAGCATCCGAACTAGATCGCGAATGGGTACGCTATGCTACGCATTACCTCCAACTACTACCCAACTTAGACCAAACAGTTCCCAATTATATCTGAGAATTTATCCATCCTTGACTTCTGATTTGACTGCATTGGTTTCACTTGCTTATACAGGTCTTACAAACAAAGGCGTTGTCAAACCCTGAAAATCTGTGGCATTTTAAAAGTATTAGCAAAGTATCCTTGCCAGTAAACAGGAGGTAGAGAAAAATATCGAGAAAAACAGTATCGTTTTACCTTCGGACGAAGTCTCCATACTTGTATTTACTTTAGAAAATTCGCATATCTCGATAGGTTCGATCCATGAGTTGCAAGCAAGTCTCAACAGGTTATTTGAACCCGTGGGATAAATTTGTTTTCGACTGGTCAACAGAGGATCTTTAGACAGATCCTCAGATTTTCTCATAACTCTGAACAGCATTTACGTCGGAAAAACGGCTACATTAATATTTTTAAAGTAAAATCAATAACATTTTTTAAAACCAAGAGTGACTAGTCACATTTTGTTGTGCAGAGGTATGTAAAATCACAAAAAGTAAATTTTATTGAGGAATGAGAAACGTCAGCCTTAAAACGACAAAACTTCTCGGATATTATACAAATTCTAATTCCGCCATAAGCCTGTAAAAATTCATGGCAAATTTACTAAATTGCCATTGAATCACATTTGATGTAAGAAATTACGGGATTATTCAAGGCAAAATATATCATAAAAAGCTGCTTTCTATCAACAACAACAACAAATATTATTAGGCTACGTTCATCACAGTTATTTGCAGTGCCTATGATGAACCAGTAGAAAACTGATTAACTATCTTAATGTCGAGAACAAGATAGGAAGCCAAGAGCTGTTAAGAAACAAATTGCGGAACTAACGCATTTCCCAAGGACTTAACAAACAGACAACACGACATATAACTGAGCCGTTGAAAATGAGGCTTGTACTTGAAGGGAGAAGGCTTTTATCGTCCGAAATTAAAAAAAAACCTGTAAATACTTGTACGTACATGTCTCGACTGAATTTCTAGTATCAGTGAAAGCGGTTGGAACCACGAAGCTTCAACATTCGCTTTTCCGAAAGTCTTAATTTATCATAAAACAGAAATATCCAAAAAAAGTCGGTTTTAAATACCTACAGAAAATCTAAGAACTAAATTATGGAGAGAGACCAGATTACAAGGGATTCTAACTACTTGGAACCACTCATCGCAGCGTACCAAAAGAATAAAATAGGACATGTGTCCAGAAACTCATCAAGGAAACCAAAAGACTTCGTGCGCACATATATTAAAAAGCGGCGAACAAATCAGATTTACGTAAATCTGATTGTTATCGTACGACAAGTATTAGATTTCGGCGCGAAATTCACTTATCCATTTGACTAAATAGAATTTCAACATCATAGTTGATGTCAGTTCGTGATGAAAACTCTAAATCTAATTCCTAACACTAACCATCAACTGTAAATCATGATATATCGTTCCGAGCAATTAACATCATATTGTATACATTAACTTTCAAAGCAAAATGGTCAATTTACATTGAGAAAAATTGAATTTTATAAGTACATAGAATCTATGAGGTTTTCGGATAGAAGGTGCACTGTGGTAAGCAGTTACTTAAAATTTGTTAACTCATCAGCTGATCGTAGCGCAAGTTTAGAAAATATCTCCTGTTTATTTTCAGATGCAATCCTAATTGTTCAAGGTTGAATTTCATGTCGTCTAAATACTTAGTGAATTTACAGAACACTGATATATAACTGCTGAAAATTCCTAGGACAGTTGCTTACACTGTTTTAAGTGTCATAGAACTTCATAAATCCATTACTCGAATTGAGGAACTAGAGACCCATTTTCTTTTTGAAGAGAACAGGAGGCTGGGTGGCCTGTGTTAGTCATGCCAGTGACGATCTCCTAGTTGATCCAACTTTCTTTTGAAAACGTCGACAGGTGGGGCTTTAATCGCGTGTTGGGGTAATAAATACCATTCGTCGATGATTCTATTGGAAATTCGATAATCAGCTGACAAATTATATGTCCTGTGCTTTTGAACATTTTAGGAGTGTCCTCGTATATTCTGTGCCTTGAAAGACATGGAAAAAGACAGCGCATCGAATAAAGACTTGTCACAAAGTAATACAAAATCCATGATCAAGTCACCTCTGTCTCTTCTATGTTACATTCGAAATTGATTTACTTTAGCCGTCATCATATGTGAACTTTGCTATTATGAGAGACATAAGTTGGAGGAGTCTTGACCAAATTCAGTCAAACCTTCGTTCCTCAAGACCAACAATCATTTCGCAAAGGAAAATCCTTCAAAATGAATATGTAATGGACCAATGTGATCTGTGAAAAATCGGGATTTAAAGTCTTCGCTGAAACTTCCGAGTCAAAATGACTTAATTTTTACACCAGTACATAAATTCCAAATAGATTTCGAGCCGGCGGAGTTTATAGTAGCTTAGAATGCGCATCAAATTCGTCTTCATGCCAAAAGCTTCTACAACATTTTCATGTCAGCTTTTTGTGAGATGACGAATGTATGGAGTATAAAATATATCGATACGAAAATAATGATAGAGTTTCTAAAAATATTATAGAGACAATGAATGAAATACATTGATATGAATTTACATGACGAAATTCATGGAAATTTACGCAGATCCTGAGTAAGAAGCGTGTCGAATTCCGGTATCGTGTTCCGTAATGACAAGTTGTCAATTATTCCAAATATGATAACTATAATTCAAGGTTATTTCTATCAATAATAATAGAGTAACTGGCACATCAATATGATCTCTAAATGCAAGAGGCAAATATATTTTAGTTTTTTGATGCCTCAACAGATAAATAATAACAAGAGGCAGCAGTGTATTCATTGGCGAAAATCCGTGAGTCATGTTAGGAGAGAACCAAAACGTTAACGAAGGGTCATTGTTAAATTTAAGTAGCCATTTCGCCCTCCAAAACGTAGTTGTACAAGTTACATGAAACTCTACAGAATGTCAATAATAACATAATTTGCTTGCTAACTAAGTACGTTTGTGTCATAATTAGTAGTATTTGAAATATAGTACGAACTAAGAATCTCAGAAATAACGCAATCGGATCAAGAAGTACTATATAAGCACGAACGAACTTACTGTATCTGGAATTCGAAACCAAGCATTCAACAAGTACGAAGAAATCGTTATTTCACACAAAAAGCGCAGCTAACTATCTGCAAATAGCTTCCTCCGACAGTTCCGGAGGTTACGCTGGTGAAAAAAAATTAGTGAGAAGGAGTATATACGCATCTAAAAGCAAAATGCTGGACATAAAATACGTAATGTTTTACGGGAAATGTTGTGTCAATACATGCATGTATGTTGCTGTCGATGACCCATAACTTTGCTCCGAATTCAGATTTTCTACTGATGCCACAATTATTCGGACTTAAACAACGCATTTACACGTAACACCTTCATATTAGAAGCATGCCAACCCTGTCAAATAAGAAGTCAGAAGTAAAGTTGTACGAAGGCATATTTAGAAGGTCATTTATATCTTGAAAAGCGTTTGATCTAGGGTGAACTTCGGCTGTAAAGAATGCGTAGTGAGGCGTACTCACTCGAGATCTGTAATACGCCACTGTTTAATGGATGGCTAAACGTCATTGAACGTGTTGCGCATGAAAGTATAAAACAGTTTCTTTAGTTTAATCCTTGCCATGTATCGTTTTAAACCACAGTATGAAATAATCTACATATTTGAAGAAATAATGAAAACCATTTCACGCTTGACTGTGGATATTATTTATCAAGTGATTATTTAGCGGAATGTATATTATCAAAGTAGATGATCTAAGTTGAAATGATTTGAGGCTTACTTGACAATAATGTTGTGACAAACTAGCTAGCGTCGATGTCATACTTCGCTGTCAGCAGCTTACGTGGATTACCCCATTGACGTATCAAGGTACAATAGATGCTTAGTAGACTATACAACACAAAGGACGTCATTTCAGAAATATATCAGTTACAGCAGATACAAGCGAAGGTGAGACCATTGCCTTATGGATCAGTCCATGTCGAACGATTAACTGATGCGCGTTTGTTATCCTCGAACTTGACGAGGATTAATGATTTGTTCGGATGATTAATCTTCGGCTCAGTGGAATTTTACTGGCCCTACAAAAATATTAGGAGTCCTGAGTGATCAAGATTTGGAAATTTCGGTGTTCTGCAGAGTGTTGAATGTATTATTCAATGAAATAGATAGAAGATAAGTACATGCTCAAAAGTATAGATTGCAATAAGGCACATTAATGATCACAAAGGTCTCTCAGTCATTAAGTAGAAAAAACAAAATATATACCTTGTAATTAGAAGACCAAATGAATCTTGATTTGTACTATGATGACTTCATTTTAATAATAAGCTAATTAAACATTATTTTCATTTTGGTTTTTAGCGGTAAATAAACCCCTGAAATCAGTAGCTATGTTAGCCTTCGACATTTGATGCCTGCCACATTAGATTTAATGGACTCAGCTAGTTGAAGGCTCACGTGTATGCATCCGCACCAGATCACAAGTGGGAAAGCTGTGCTCGAATTCTCCTGCAACCGCTAGCCATTTTAGATCAGTCGCTTCTCGATATATTGATAAGCCATCAAATATGTCTTCGAACCTACTCGCTCCTGAATTGAGATTTCATTGGGTGGGCCCAAATCATTATAGGTGTTACTGGTTAGTGTTTTCAAACTAAAAATACCTGTTGAAACCTGGAGTTCTTAAATGTCTGCTGGAAAACTGCAAAATTGACTAATTTGGGTCAAAATGAAATGAGCGATGGCTTAACCTGGCAACCATTAGTAGATACTCAGAGAAAAATTATTAAATATTAAAAAGTGTCATGATTTATCTGAATAAAAGTATATTAGTATCAGACTGCTTCACGTAAGTTAGGTACAATCAGTCATTTAAATTTGACCCTAATAACACTAGTACTCATTGAAATAAATGCGTAATACAAAAACGTACATAAGTATTCTAGAGGTGATGTACACCTCAAAATTTAAATACTACTGCTGAACTAGTTGATACGATTGTACTCTGTACTAGTCACGAGGAAATAATACATAATTTTTATTATCAAATCTCAAATAGTTTTGAAGATCTTTGTACGATGTTGAAAATAGCTGAACGAAATTCAAGTTCTTCGCTACAATTATCCGCAAGGTCGTAGAGCGTTGTCTGTTTCAAATCGTTATGTTTTAGGGTGAGCTTAACTTCAAATAAATATCTTGCATGTTGTTTATAAATAGAAACTTCAGTATTTTTCTCATATTTGTGATATGTTAACGCGTAGTGTTTTGTTCAATCGCGCAATTCCGATATTGTGATAATTTATCGGCTACATTTGGGCGACCGTTTGGTGACCTTGAGAATGTCCATCTACTAAATGAGAGTTACAATTCAGTGTGAGGAATTAGAATTGCGATTTACAGTCGATGGTTAGGCTCATGGATTAGATTAAGTGTTTCTTCATCACGTACGGACACCAACTGCAGTGTCGAAACTCATTTTAGACATGTACATGTACATGTCTAAAATGAGTGAATCTCACGCGAAAGCTTAAGACTAGTTATTTTATGTCTGATTGATTCGTACATGATTTTTAGCGTTGCCGCTAACGGCAACAAAAACGCCTTCCGTGCCGACTCTGCACCTGTAACGTTGAAGAACCTTTTTTCGTCCAGTTTAACGGACGAAGTCATCCGTCGAATGGTAACTTCGCACATAATTTTCATCAATTCTATCTCACGACCAAAGGATTAGGACATTTCGGAACTTATCCAACGGCGAGCCACAAAGTCAGTTCGGGGACTCAAATTTAAGTCTTTTGAAGAGCGCCTCCAATCACTGAATCTTTACCTATTAGAATGTGTCTCAGAGGTTACCTAATGACTTGTAGCATCCTTAACATTTCGAGTATCCCCTTAAACACTTATTTAAGCTCAGTCCCAACACTAAGAAACTGGAGACACCACAGAAAAACGGATTGTAAACACACATTCTACTTACGAGTGGTGAAATGATGGAATTCATTGCCGGTTAAGCTAGTCTAAGCAACTTCTCAGGAGTACTTTAAGAGGAAACCTGACATATTCTTAAGGAGTAGGGACAGTATCTCACTGTAATTTACTATTTTATCATTATGTATATGTAGATTCTTACCTGAAGGCATCGGGGACCCATTGCTACTAGACCCAAAAGCCCGTTAAGCGAAAGTATCTATTCCGTCCAGAATCATTCAAAAGGTTGGGATCGGAAGACTGATAGTTTTTATTAGTGCTACTGAAAATGCCTCTGAAACAATCGAAAAATCTTTTTCGATTACTTCGAATTGTCAATTTCATTGTACAGTTTCAATAGTATTAGGTATATTTTGCCAACTGTTTAATCAAATTCAAGATAACTTCTTGGGTTGATTTTGGACTTCTCTGAGAGGATCAACTGTGTAAACAGAAATACTGTTGGGTCTGCTTTCACCTGCTAGAATTAGCATCAGACTTTTGGTTGCTTGGATCGTTTTCAAATGAAAACATACACATTTCGTAATTTGGAACTTATTCCTTATTAGAAAACACCTCAGTTTATCTAATTTACTTGCACAGCTTTTTGCGCAAATGTTTCCACTCAAATATTTTCAATGCCCTTAGACTAATTTTCTTTTTTCGCTACCAACTATTTAGGGTGAAACCGCTATTGATGATTTCTTGACTCAGAGGCCACTGCAAATATTTCATATGGTTCCTTTCAAATGCAATCGTAAACAAATGCTTGTATGCAGAAATGGTTTATTAATCAACATCATTACTGTACATGTCGGTATAATTCCCACTAAGATTATCAATGTTCAATATATTCAATGCTTATGATTTACTCACAGTAAATTACCCACTCTTCCAGTTAAAGGGAAATATTGACCCTTATTGTCAATGTCAGTCAGTTTTCGTTTCTGTTCACAATGATCATGAAAGAGATTGGGAAATGAAGTGGACTTTATGCGAATCAATGTTCAAAGTATTTGTCCCATTGTCCATAGGATGTAATACCTTGCAACTAAGGTGTGAACACTACCTCGCCGAGTTTCGAATAGTGTATGTACATAATCCCGACTCTCCATATATTGTCAGGCCTATTTATGTAATATGCTGTGATGATACCGGGTGGTTTCAAGCTCCTGAGGGAATGGTTCCCACGAAAGAAAGTGCTTGTAAACGTATTGGATTAGGAATTAGACTGTTGCAAACTTTGACTGCAGAAGCTTTTCTGTCTGAACTTGGAATGAGATGCACTTTTTTAACTAAGGAAGAACTCAGTCGTAAATCATCGCGGAATATTTCAGACTGGTCTTCCGAAGCCTGTTGTCACTACTCAAGTCTCAGTAAAACTTTTGTTAATAGTAATACTCCCGAAGATGTATGGCAGAAGTTGGCATACGAGCTCTACGAAAAATATCCTCATAACTTCGAGAACACTAAATGGATTGCTTTTATGGCTTGTACACGTTATCACCCCCCAAAGAACATCAATTCCCAATTTCTGAGTTACAATGAAATACTTCTTCGGACAACAGCTCATTTCGCTCTCGGTAAGCATCCTCTTGGGGTTATGTTTTTATCATAATGTACTCCGAAAAATTATTCTTTCCTAAAATTTTGTTGGCTAAAACAATCACTGTTTAAAAATGAGACACATAGTTCTAGAGGATCTAGTCTTTGAAGGTTCCCACTAATTGTCGTTTAGTTGGATGGAGGGCATATATTTCGATCCATTCGAAACAGGAAGACAAACATGGATACTTGTTTATATTGTTTTGTTAAATCAAATATGTTATTTGACGGTTTTCTTAAAATACACCACTGGTTTGCTTCAATTCTTGGTAGTGTAAGATTAACATTAGACCTACCTGTTGTGGGATTTCCGTTTTATTGGTGCTGATAGTTGAAATCATCAACTTATGGAATGACCTAGTGAAAAGAACATACCAGCGATACCGAAAGGATTTACAAATTATATTCGTTTGATTTAAATCCAAAATCAAAGTGATTCCCGAGATAAAGTTTAAGTAAAGGAAAGCACTCGAACCAGTCTGCGCATTAAAACTTGATAGGCGCATGTGTTGATCAGGACAGTATATGAAGGGAAGTTTTCTGGTCTTACTGGGTTGATAAACCAAGAAACTATCATTATTATAGGAAAGATTGATTTATTAGAATAGACGCGACCGACACTGAAAGTTGGCTATAGTTTCAGCAATAAACCTAGTTCTCAGCTGATCACCATTTATACTAGTTGTATATAAGTAAAGTGAAAACTAGAAATGAGCTAACTGTCTAAGTGGATTGTTAATCAATTGAAACTGCAATTCGTGACAGCCGGCAATGTTTGATACTGACTGATAACTGATTTAGTTCGCCTTCAAATATGTATGGCAATCCATTTCCTACAAGCATTTCTAAGACCTAGTTATATTTATTAAATAGCATATCTATCTGTTGAATTTTTATGTTTGATAAGAAGGGTTAACTTGAACCGGTGAAAAAGTATAACGTCATTGGTTAGTTGAAGCAAAATAGATCACTGGAACATTAGGAAAAGTTGAAATGATTTTTATGGTTTGTAATGTTGAAGAAAAAAATTTGAAAAGGAATACGCAAAAGAAAGTAAATATGGATTTCTCAAAACTCACTGGTCGATAATTGGGTTACGTATTTTCCTGAACTTCACAAATATACACTTCAAGAGCTTTACAGTTGCAAGTCAACAATTAATGATCCAGTAATTTACATGATAAATAATCTACTCCCCAGTTTGAAAAAGAGAAAAAAATTACATTCACGAATATAAATACCAGTGACAAAGCACTAATAATACTTGTTATCTCGAGTTTAACAGGTTTGATAAATACCACGGTTATAAGCTTAGTGTCCATTTTTCAATATAAGACTTGTGAAGATTACTTGCAGTGATTATTATACAAATAAGTCGTCACACTGAACTGTCACCCAGAAATAATAGAAGTGGATATTATACCGAATCACACTCACACCCAGTTAGTGTGAAATTCAAATGGAAAAATTTCTTACTAAGTCAGTGTATGATTTTACACTTACTTTCATACCAAATTGTACTTAGGAATTTAACATCCTTAACAGGATGGCAGTTTAAATTATAATACAGAATCCACATCACTCCATTAAATCAGATGTGGGAATCCAGCTGCAATCACTAGTCCCTGCTCGAAAATAATGATTTTATTGACCACCTAGCTTCATTGAATTAAGTTTGACGCATGAAACTGTCAAAATAATGCATAAAGTAATTTGTACCAAGCTTTTTCATTGATATTCAGTTGATCCATACATAATGATTCAGTTTAGATTTTTTTGGTTGGTTAAATATTCTTGTCTTGTTAAATTGTGGGTTAGATCCCTATCTGATAGTATCAGACTTATTTTTATTTGTGAAACGCTCACTTTACGTTTTTTTTATGAATAGGAACAGGGGGTTTAGCCTTACTTGGAACGGGGACTTTACATGCTTGGCCAGAAAAGCTTAATGATTTGCAGGTAGTTTTGGGTAATACAAGATTTGTTGATCCAACATTGATGGATGACACTGCTTATCGGTGAGTTGTAGTCGTGAGATGCGTACGTAAATTATTTCCTTCTTAAACGATAAGTTATTATCTATAATGGAACCACTGTACTGTTATATACGTTATGTAACTCCAATAATAATCTTGATGAAATATTGATCCTATTTACTTCTGTCGACAAATTCTGTTAATAACAAAATAGATATAAAAATGTGAATACAAAAGCATTTGAGTAACACATATTTCTGGAGTTTGGTAACGCAGATTAACAGCAAGTGGGGAAAGGAAGTGGATGTGAATTAGATTGGCAGAAATAGTCAACTCAGCGTATAATGAGCACCTGATCTAAAATAAATAGTATATAAACTACAGAAGTCTAATTAAAGTATAAATGACAGACACATAAGGCACGCACATGACATGGTGAACAAAGTACATAGGAAGATCATAGAATATCTGGTCAGGTTAGAATAACACACTTAATGGTCAGACAAAACAGACTTCGTTCAGGTACGATAAGAGCTGTTATTCTACATATTACAGTTTACTTGGTTCTGTTGAACCAAGTCTGAATGGGCTGTTCAAAGCATATATTCGTATGCATTGTTATATTTGAAAAAAATCAACCTGATTCCACATTTGATGTTATTTACATAAGTCAACCAAACCGATCTAAGTCTTATTCTCCACGTACATCCTGTTGAACAAGTTTTATCATTTTACAACTTTACTTCAGATTAGTGAGTACAAAGATAGTTTGCTGAACTGTATTTGTCATACAAACATTACCTATGAAAAAGCTTGATTTGCACCATTGTTCGAGGGTAATCTTTTGTAGCCATTTCTGAACCTTATTCAAAGGGAGTTCATAGCAGTTGCTATTGTAACTGTTTATTTTGATAAATCGAAATCAATTTAACCTTGTTCATGATTCTGAGTCCGTATTTTACATGATGTTTTTCACTGATTCCTTTGTCAGACACACTTACTGGGCAGCTTTCGCTACAGGATTGGGTGCTGTTTGGCATGAATTAGGTCATTGTTTCGGACTGGAACACTATCCCCGGGGTATTATGTTTCGTGGTGATGATATTAATTTATGCCTTGGATTTCCACCCCCTGATTCTGTTTGTCCACATGAATCCAATGTGAATGGTAAATCTGTCCAAGCTACAGATCGACATGATAGTTCGAATCCTGATAATAAACATAAAAGAGACCTTTGTCAAGTATGCTACTCCTGGTAATGTTAGGTGATTTTTTCTTTATTAAGAATTTCGATTATTTAAAATAATGATTATTTCAATGGTCTGGTAAAAAACAAACCAAAAATTGACTGCGCTCAACAATGACAGGATTTTTATCAAATATTTTAATGGTTAACATAAGCTCTGAAAGTTTCTAAACTTAGAGAAAATAATATGAAAATTCAGTCACGCTAAGCTACTGGAAAAGCTTTTTTATACCATTCTTTGAAGATTGCTTTTGAGAGCTTACCTATCTCAGATGATTGGTGTCGGTTTCCACAAATTATTTTGTGATGAAAATTTTTTCGTTAGTCTCATTTTACTTTAAGCACCAGGCAACACAACCTTTTATGCTTTAATAAATTTACAAGTTGTTTATCTTTCGCTAATAATCACAATCTAATTAGCCTGTTTTGTAAACTTCCACAACATTACCGACTATTTCCCCATTTATTGAAATATCACTGCAGTAAAATCCTTTTACATTCATTGTTTTGCCGATTTATCTCTCATCCAGCTACTTCCCGATTCGTATAGAGTAAGCAGTCACTTAAGGAAGTCCTATTATATTTTAATAATAGGACACAAATATAATGATAATGAAAATGATGATATTCACTGAAAACCCTATTCTCGCTGCGATTTACTGTCAAACAATTCACATTATTATTATTATTATTATTTACCACGTCATTTATTCACTCTCTTTCATTCCCACTCTGTCTATCCTTATTTTTCGACTTATACAGCAGCTCGCCTATGGTGGACATTAGGCTCTGTCTAAAAGTTCTCGAGTCACTGACTGGTTGAAATTGTATGTTACCATCGAATACGAGTACTGAAGCAGTTTTTCTGAAACCATGTGCACTATTCAAACTGGCTGCCTTTAACGTTCGCACACTTATGCAGGTCGGACAACAGTCATCTGTTCTTCTCCAGAAAGTGCGTTCGACAGATATTGTAGTACTAGCCGGAGACTTGAATGCTCAGGTCGGGCGTCTAGGCACAGAAGAGAGTAGTTTAGGTGGCCGATGGGAACTTGTTGGTTGAAGGACAGATAACGGGGAACGTCTACTGCAGCTATGCACAGACCACAACCTGTTTCTGGATAGCACTAACTTCCGGCACAGTCATCGCCAATGTGCCACCTGGCGTCCTCCTTCTGCATCTCAAGCCTGGACTCAGACTTATCATATCGCGATCAGCTACCGCTGGCGTGGTTGCGTACAAGACTGCCGCTCCTTTTGGAGTACCTATCTGGACTCTGATCATGCCCTGGTCTGCGCCAATCTTACCTTACTTTTCAGCGGCCAATGAAGTGACCGCCACCGAAGGATTGATGTTAGCAAGCTGGTTGCAACTTCTGTTGCTAGTAAGTACCGAACCGAGCTAGCTACCATTCCACCGAAAAGTATAGATGAGCATTGGTTGCAATTGCATGACGCCATGTAAATGGCGGGTAGTCAGTTGTAGGTTCGCGAAACGTCCCGCTTATAAGCACTGAGTTTCTTCTGGTTCCTTACAACTCATTGAAGCCCGTCGGTCTACTCCGGGTGACTGTGAATTTGACCACACACGAAGGATGTTACATACTGAAATTGGGCAAAGCTTGCATAAGGATCGAGGAACCTGGTGGTCGGAGCGTGCTAATGAGCTGGAAGCAGCAGCTGCATCTGGTAATTACCGGAAGCTCTTCCAACTCATCCGAGCCACTGACAGCAAGAAGTTTGGTGTGAGCGAAACAATCTGCGAGGATGACGGAACGCCAATCACTAAAATCCATCGACGTCTTGACCGATGGGCAGAATTTTTCGAAGGGCAGTTCAACTGGCCTGCTGCCCCGGCAACATCGATCAGACTGTTCTGCCCTGCATGGCCGGTGACGACTGATCCACCAAATGAGGCGGGAGTCCGCAAGGAACTCCAACTCTTGAAACGTTACAAATCACCGGGCCCAGGTGACTTACCTCCGGCTCTTTTTAAAGATGGTGGTAACTTTCTGACTAAGGAACTGACGACGTCGTTTGCAAAGGTCTGGGAACTAGAGAGTGTACCAACGTCATGGAATGAGTTGATAGTTGTCCCTACCTTTAAAAAGGGATCACATCGTTCCTGTAACAACTATCGGGGGATAAGTCTACTTCCGATTGCGTCCAAGCTATTGGCTGCCGTCATACTTAGTAGGTTGTTCAAAACCCGAGAAGGACTGACTCGCGAGGAGCAGGCTGGGTTTCGTTCTGGTCGAGGATGTATTGATCATATCTTCACCCTCCGCCAAATGTTAGAGCACCGCCATACTTATCAAAGGCCAACAATCGTAGTGTTTCTTGATATCAGGGCTGCCTTCAATTCGTTGGATAAAACTGTTCTCTGAGATTGTCTATTGAAGAAGGGTGTGCCTGAGAAGTTTATTAACATCCTAAAAGCCCTATATACAAACACCTCAGGCAGAGTGAGGGCATACAACCACCTTTCTCCACTATTCCATTCAAGCAGTGGGGTTAGACAGGGTCGCCCAATCTCATCATTCCTCTTCAACTTTGCCATCGATGACATTCTGGAAACAGCTCTGACGGATGTAAGTAATGGTGGTGTGGATCTGTTGCCTGGAATAAGACTTCTCGACCTTGAGTATGCGGATGATATTGTCTTACTGTGCGAGAATGCCCAAGCCATGCAATCCGCACTTAATCAGTTGGCAATCAATGTCCGTAGGTATGGTATGTGCTTTGCACCTTCGAAGTGCAAAGTACTTCTACAAAACTGGCAGGATTCTAATCTTGTACTCACTGTGGATGGTGAGCAGATAGAAGTATTCGAGAAGTTCGTGTATCTGGGTAGCTGCATAAGTGCTTGTGGTGGCCTGAGTGATGAGATCAATGCACGTATAGTGAAAGCCAGAGCGGCTTATGCCAATCTGGGCCATCTTTGGCGCCTTCGTGATGTTAGTCTGGCTGTAAAAGATCGGGTCTACAACGCGTCGGTGAGAGCAGTTTTGCTCTATGCTTGTGAAACCTGGCCTTTCCGAGCTGAGGATGTTAGACGACTCACTGTGTTCGATCATCGTTGTCTCCGAAGGATTGCTGGCATCCAGTGGCAACACCATGTCAGTAATGCAGAGGTTCGGTCACAGAGACGATAATGAAATTGGTGTCACCATCTTGAAACACCGACTTCGGTGGCTTGGACATGTTCTACGAATGTCGTCCGAGAGAATTCCTCGTCGTGCATTATTTGCCGACTCTGGGACTGGTTGGAAAAAGCGGAGAGGTGGTCAGTGTATGACATGGTGTCGGAGTATGAAAGAAAGCTGCAAAGAGCTAGCTTCTGTTAGTCCTTCACGACTCCCTGGCTGGGGTCCGAGAGATGGTGTAACACAGTGGCTAGAAACGTTATCAGATATAGTTCAGAATAGAAGCCAGTGGCGATCCTGCTGTAACATTCTTTTACCTTCTTCATAAAAAGTGTTTGCTTCTTCGTTTCCCCCATTATTGTTCTTTTTTTTATAATTCCCTACGTTCCTTACCTTTTTTCCCTTCTCTTTAAATTCTCACTGTTTTGTGTGGCGCATATATATTTGGTGCCCGCCTGTACCAATATTTATGTGTTCAAATAAATAAATAAAGGAAGTCCTACTCATTGCTCTCTCGAGGTAGAGGTATTGTTCACGAGATTGAGAGGACAGAAAGCGAATGTCATGAGGTTTAACCGGATTAGTGGGTACGGAGGATCAACCTAGGGGAGTTGGAAAACCCTGATTCTCTATCTCTTCACAACCTCATTTTTGTATGGTGCATATGTATTTGGTTCAACTTTGTACCAGTGTAAATATGTTCAAACAAATAAATAAATATTATGCGTTAGCCGATAACCTACATCCATTTACTGTCATTAATATAGTTTGGTCATCAAAGATAAAGTTTATTTCTATTAAAATAATTATTTAATTCTCATATGTAAGCCAAGTAAAACATTTAAATATTGCACGTAATTTACAGAGCATATTTATGCTTTTCAAATATTAATGTGTATTTTATCATCTGACAAACGATTATATGGTAAACGTTTTTATTAGATTCAACCCCCGAAGTCAATGTCCCGTGCTATACAATTTTATCGCATAGTGCAATTTCATCCAATGAAGTCTCGTTTACACTCCTCGAATCAAACCACAAATGAAGAAATGAAATCTAAGCGTTGGGGATTTTGTAGGTCTTTATGGCATCAAGGTTCTGCTTTTTGGGGAACAAAGGCGCTTTCTAAACTACTTTCATGTCCGTAAGTTATATGTGGAAGCTTATCCTTGAACAATGTTACAGATAAAACCCCATATTACATTTTAAGATGTTCAGTACTTTTATTCGTGATCATAATACACTTGTATTGGAAATGTTTTTTGATTAAGATTATTTTCATCCATTCTTCAACCCTTGATTTGTGCACTTTTTATAAAGTGCAATTCTTTCATGTAAAGCATTTTCATGTTTATCATAACTTTTTAACTGTTTTTTAGATGGATCATCGAAACACCAACTTTAGATAAAGACAAACTACCTGTTGAGAAATGACTTTAGTTATATAAACGATTTCTTCCATTTTTTAAATACCCTTTGTCCATATATGTAAATCCCATGTAAATTACAAGTGTAGTGTAAATTATTATGTTGAATTATGTATAATTAAAGATTATACATTGATATGCCTCACCTTTTTTATTATTACCATTTGATTCTTACATGGAAGGTGCATTTTTCATTTAATGTTAAGCAACTTGGAAATGTAGTGCATCAGGTAATTTTGAAGTAGATAGGCTAAAATATTTACATTTACATCGTATTTTTTTAAATTCTTACTGTTGATTAAAATGTATCAAGATGCTGACATAACTTGACGTACAGTATTTACATATTAAACACTAGTAAAAGCATCCACCTGGTCTGGGAATCATCATTCAAAATGCCAAATTATTAAGAGATTTAGTGATTATTGAGGCTTATCATTAAGTTATCTGTGTTAAAGCAAGAAAGTTCTCCACTTTTCTAGGAACTCTTCCAGATAACTCAATGGCGCTATTATGAATATCACTGCATTGTCGTTTAGATTATAGCACTTGTATATTTCTTTATCACAGCCTTTTTAGTCATATTGTTCCAGTTAACAACATCTAAGTATATGTAGTGAATGGCACAAAATTTACATTAAAATGAGTTTCGTTGTTGTGTCGATTGGTTTGCTTTCGGTACACAAATTCATAGTTTTTTTGTAGAGGTCTCACCCAATGACCACTTGATATGTGCCATGCATAGTCAGAAAAAAAACTCTCCTTCCCATACATCTACGATATTTCCAGAATTTGCTTTCTATGAATATTGTGCAGATTAGAACCATAAAATTAAGAAATGCTTAGATCAATCATCCATTAAAAAATATTAGGATTTAATATACAAACTATTGACATTAACTGTTGCATTTCCGTTTATCTTACAGTAATCCATGTGTAGCTATTATTATTTTCGTATATCATTGAATCTTTTTCTCAAAATGTGGTCTGATCGATGGGAATAGACTTCTCAAATCGATGACAAAATTCATTTGGCAATAAAAATACACAAATACTGTGAAACGTAGAGCTAAAATAGAATAATAAATAAATATTTATAAGCACAGATCAAGTCATTAACTATGTTAATAAAGGTATATCAGATTAAATGTTAGGCCTAAACATTGGTGAATAAATTTACACAAAATTAATGAATTCATTAATATGTATTTGATGTGAACTACCATTTTATTAAGTGTAACACTGTTTATTGCAATAATATGTATCATTTTATCTTACGCCTGTTACCCATCGTGCAGCACAAGCCGCCCGCCAGAAATCTCCAACCGACTCTGTCCTGGGCTTACAATAAAAAATATGTATCATGATTAAAGGTATAGTTCTACAGTCGCACTTCTACCTTAACCACCATCCTTGTTAAACAAAATTTGCATAAGTTGTGCAAATATTTATTTCATATTTATCGATCATCATATTTTACGTTATCTCTCAAACTGGATTGAATTGTATGTGAAAGCTGAAACATCTTGTACAACAAATCTGATATTTTGTGTGAATAACAGTTTTCAAGGATTATCACCTAATCATGCAACATTAATGATGTTTTACGCTGTGAATTTTCTTTAGCCCATAATACAGAAAACGTGATCGGATATAATTGACCTCAGAGAGTGTATTACTAAGAAGAAATAAAGCTCACTACTTATTCATTTATATAAACATTCGTCAAAATTTGGAGGAGCAGTGTGCCAGAATAATCCAACTGTGAATGACTTTCATTTTAAGTTATTCGAATTATAGATACCCTGTTAGTTTGTCCATCTAAAACATGTCTTTTAATTGTGTATGTCTTATCTACTAATCTACCTAGTAAATCGCTGTAGTTTTTAAAATTTTTATCCTGCTCACATTTTTACGATTAGGACGTTAGATTACAACCTCAGTTCCTTCTTCAAAGAAGAGGAAATACCAAAAATTTGTTATAGAACAAATATCTCATCTTTAAATTTCACAGAACATAGGTCAAATTACATCTTGTTTTTATTCTGTTTCCAGTTCGTGATCAAGCCTATTTTTCCAAAAATCACTGACTAGTATGAAACAAGGCATACATTACAAGTTAACGTATACTAATGGTGACTTACTGACAGAGCGACCCATTGTACACATTAAGAAACAAAAACAATTTATTCATAAGCTAGTTATTCTTTAAATCATCATTGAAAGTAAACGTGGAAAAATATTTTTTAGAAAACGGACTTTTGTACAATTTTTTATATGAGATTTTGCCACTAAGCATGTTTTACGCTTACTGACGATGTCTTAATATGTCACCATAGTCGGTAAAATGGAATTTAAGAAATAAAAAACTAACTTGGATCATGTATTAACCACACAGTTAGTTGGTTTGCAACTTTCGAACCGAAGAGGAAGTGCAAATTTCCCAAAACTGAAAAAATTCCACTGGTTGCACAAAGTAATAGTGAAAGACGTCGGATCCATCTATCAGACAGCTGATGATGCTAAATAGTTATTTATAAAAAAATTTCCACAACAAAATTTGGTTAATTCTCAAGTTTTGGATGATATGTGTATCACTGTAAGGCTTTTACCATCAGAGTTTAGTGGTCAACAAAAATCAGACTAAATTCTTGACGTCGCACTAATAATACAGTGATATGAGCCTATTTTGTTATGATTGGGTAATCTTAGGTGGTTAGAGACAATAGACAAGAATCCCTGGAACTAAGTTTTGTTATAGTCGATACTTATTAGTAAGGGATGTTGTAAATATCGAGTAAACTGGTTCTCTCTGTGAGATGTAGATCTGTGTTTTCTAATGTTTAAGGTTAGAAATATTCGGTACGCAAATGGCCTCCACGACTGAGATGGCAAAATAATGCCTGAATACCAACCAGTGACCGTTGTGAGTAATCTATGGCATTAATTTTCCACTCCTATACAAATTCTCCTCTATATTTTCTCGATTTCTCATCTTCTTGAACAAGTTTATCTTTTGGGAGCGTGAGAAAAATCCAACTCTAGTGTGATTAGTAAATTTGAGTGCATATGATATGAATATAAATGAAAACTTTATCGGATAAATTAACGTTTGTTTGAAAAGTAAAAGATTATAAGACACGGTTGAAGGATTTCCAAATCATAGAGCAAAATGAAATTTTATGACCACCTAGGTGACATTTTGAAACCGATTACGACCGTAAGAATCCATCCGCCCCCTATTTCTCGTTGACTAAAGTTAGTTTAGATACTCACTACAATGCTCGAACCAATCTGTTAGGTTTGTGGATGTGCATTGATGAAGAGCCGCACACTTAGAATAAACACTCATTGAGTGCTACTTAATTTTTGGTGGTTGTCCAATTATAGTCAATTCGTGATGTAAAACTGCAAACTAGACAATCTCCAGTCCCTTTATACTGAAAATAGTTTAGTACAGCGATTTAACGTTTATATTACTGAGAAATCTGAGTTTTTTGTAGCTTACACATAGTAAGTTTCGCACTCATAAAACTTAAAAATAGTCAAAACAGTGCAAACTCAGTAAAATATACACTGATACCATTTCGAAAAATAGCATGACTGTCAGTATAATCTTCATGGAGATGGCTAGTCAATCAAATATTTCGGATGAAAGGATTTACGATCGAACAAAAGTTCAATGATTAATATTTTTTGCAAATGTAAACTCTTCTAACAAATCAAGCAAAATTACTCAATATTAATCACAGAAAAATGATGGTTATTTTCTTTCTAAGGACGTACAATTTCTGATCCAAGATTAGTACATCGATAAATCCATTTCACAGAACGTTCAGAAAATAAAAGCAGTAGATTTGTCGACAACCAAATTGCTTTGCATGAAGAAAAAATAATCAAAAGGAAAGTCTAAGGATTCACACTGTTGCTTGTAAAAAAATATTCACCTTACATGCAGCAATTATGAGCATATACGCTATTGTGATATAATATTTACGTAACCATGAATTCAAACCTTTTAACAACAATTTAACTCTAAAGAAAATGTACAGATAGATTGAACTTTTCTATAGATTTTTTCAGTATGATGTCAGTTCTAATTACAGACCGACATAAAATGATGAACCATGTTTCACTAGACATTTGGATTGTCAAAGGTTGGAATTTACCAAAGATGTATAAGATTGAGTTCTGGTGATCAATACGACCCTGTTTTTAGATCACTGATCTAAAATTCTGTAGTCTACATCTTTCGACTTCTTCTAAAATTAGTGAAATAATGGTACAAATACCGAATGGCTTCGGTGAGTATCTGCTTAACCTCTAACATTGTTGACTCCACAGGGGCCATAGCTTTTACCGGAACTTGAAAAACTCATCTGTAAGCATTTATAATGATTAGTTAGTTAGGTTATTTGTAGAGATTCATTCGACTCAAAGATAGTTCTCATCGACGAAATGCAGAATATTGGATTCTGACTTACTATGAGGTCTAAAAACATTGTGATCACCACAAGATTTGGATGCTCTAGGCTTGATTACAGTTGAGCTACGAGAGATTGAGCATTGCCACGGTCTTTCGGACGAAAACAAAACAGGTGTTCAACACTCTGATTTTCAGTGGTTCTTAAACTAGTCTCAGTTTATAATGAATTATTTTTGAATAAATTAATTTTATTCAGAGATTTTTATGTAAATTCATTTGGGCATATTGGATATGCTGATAATGCGTGTACAATATTCTGTGATTTTGCTTAAAAATTCTTTTGTCTACCTAAAGTCTGTGGACTACTGGTAAATCAAATATTCGGATGAACTTTTAAAATAACCTATATCAACCATACTCCAATTATCTTCGAAGTTTCAATTGAACTTTCGAAAATTGGTCTACATTCACACTTCATTATGACTGGAGATGATTAAATAAGTGGGGAATTCATCAATTTTAATCATTTTGATAATCGTACAACCTGTATTTTCTATTTAGAGTGATTAAATCGAATTATTCAGTGATAGTTACCATATTATGTGGTCTTTTTGATCTTCTACGTCAAAAGCGATTGTAAGATCTTAAATAAAGAAATCATTGAGGCTGAAGCTTTAGGTTTCTAAAAACATTAAGATTAGCTCTACATAAACCAGAGGCGACACATCTTTAAAATTTTATGTCAGTTATGAAAGATAGAGGACATCCGTTCCAATTTTTCAAACTATAATATGACACAAATCAATGGTGATTACTGGTAAACGCATTGTAAGTAAATAGAGATTGGTTAATTGGTTTAATTCTACGATAACTAGAATCTTTTACTAAAATTTTCAAGCAAAATGAACTGTACTCTGTTCAAATGAATTCGTTCTTGAAGTATCAAATATCTTATTTCGCGTAAATGAGATCACTTCAGTGTAAGCACTGCATAGATTCATAGGAATGAAGTCATTATTGCGCGTAGTTCAGGAAGATCTATGTGTATTTATATCTTCACTCTGTACAGACAAGTACTCGAAACTCAAATTTTTAAAATTAACAATTGAAACTGTCTAGAAAATAAGGTCATTGATTAACTCAACTGTTTAGCTTATTTGAACTGGGATAAGAATATTCAATTAGGAACTGAACGTATACGATTACACACATGGTAACAAGTTAGTGTCTCTCTACGTTGAAATTACCATAAAGGTTTTACCTCAGTGTAACGATACTTCATTTTTGTTTCAATAACTGGGACCGAATGAAAATATTTAACAATACAATTTTGTTACATAGAATGAAAATTAATTGTTGATTCTACATATTTTTTTTTGATAGTTTACATTACGAACTGACCCCAATTAGACGATCATTGGACAATAGGAAGTAGTGGACAACTGTTTCGTCCTGGTATGAGACTCCTCAATAGTCCATATCACCGACCTCATATTCAATCGACTTCAAATCCTTCATCTCTCGCAGTGAACGCTTAACTTTTATACCACTAAACTGACATCCAGTAGTTTACATGTCTAACTTAAATAATTTTTCTGTTTTATTAAGTATAAGCTTTCTATGAAAATCGTTTTAATAAGACAACAACTTTAATTTCAGTGATTTTCAATATAGATCATTGTCAGCTCTGAATTGTGAAAACTTGTTCTAAACATTTAAAAGTGAACAAAATTTAAAAAAATAAGGCATTTACCATTTGTTTTATCAATCCCATGATATAAAAGAACAAATGAATAGGATAAAGTAAGTGCTAACCAATTTTTAACGATAGGAAAAACAATTAATAGTAATGGATGTTTATAATTTGACGATAAATCGAATTTCATTACAGGTATAAAAATATAACTGGAAAAGATTTAAAAAATAAATGAAAAGTTGATCATAATCTTACTACATTTGTAATTAGTAATTTACAGCAAATTAAAAAGCTTAATTTCAGTAATATATTTACTAGTATAAACAGAGAATGAATGTATGCACGTTTGCGAAGTATACTTTAATAAATGTTTCAATTTTGACATAATACGCATATTTGTACTAAAAATTTTATGAATCAACATAATATCCACTACTGACATTTAACAGGTGCGTATGCTAAACAAGAACTTATAATTGTGAAATATGACCTTAAAAGTTGAAGACATTTGTAGGTTAAGGGTATTTGACCACAGATACCTTCGAAAAATCTGATTTGGGTCAGTCGCGGGTGGAATAGCTCAGCAGAAGAGTCCTGAATTGTGGGTGACCCTGGGTAGAATATACCAGGGATCATCAGTTCCCTTAACACTGAAGGTATGCTTTGTTGATTATAACTGCTTTCAACCACCCAATACATGGGAATTTATTTATATGAGAATCATCTAACTAGTAATTAAACTATTAAGTAAATTATTAGTAACAGTGATCAGTATTTCTGTTACTCAACACAGAATAATCATAGTCTCATCGAAAATAAAGTGTAAATGGATTAATTACTACATGAATGATATATCCTACTAGATGAAAATAATACATATAAGAATATGAAGTTACGACTATCATAGGTGATTTACTGATGTCAAAAGTTTCACTAAATTATCAATATAATTAACTGTAAATTATTTACCTATGAAAAATGACTTAAGCTGTTAATGCGCCAAGGTTTAAAAATATGCTGAAACTCAATAAGAATTATTTAGGTTGTTTCGGATTAAAAAACGTGGAGATAATATTGACAAAATAAAAGGTCAACTGGATTACATGGATAAGAAGGTTATCAGAAAAAAATTCGAGCAATAAAAGCACCAACTTACGATTTGATGAAATTGTACAATCCACGATCGAATGACCTGAAACATAAGAAATAAGATTATAAGCGAGTTAAAAGACTGAATGAACGTTATGTATATGAAGTCCCTACGAAGCAACTGTCTTGTTTAGTGAACGACTTTACTATGAACTGTGGAATTGAAAAATTACAAATTAATAAAATTGGATGAAAATTGTATTATACAACAAATAGGCTTAAGTTGAAAAGATAAAATGATGGATTTGGTGACATAAAAGAAGTGATACTCTTCTTAGGACCTAATGGTATAGAACTTAGTGTTACGTGCGTTAGTTGGTTCAGACTACTGAGTCGTAAACTAAAATAAAATAGGTTTTCAATGTTCTCTGATTTTCAAAGGTTCTCTTGTAGATGTCAGTCAGTATGTATTTATGAACGCTAGAATAAACTAGGGTACCGTATTCAAGTTTAAAGTGAGTGTTAGTCGGACTTAATGTGGATATAACTATCATAATCTAAAAAAAGTCGAAAGAATTGGTATTCTGTACTGAAAAGCGATATGTTTCGTGTCACATAGGACCGTGATAGACAGAAGGATGTCTGGTAAGGCTAATATAAACTTTACACAGGATAAATCCTTGGTTATTAATTTTCATTTTGTATCAGAATAACGAGTAAGTGAAGTTAGTATTTGATGATAAACTATAAGGTAATTTGTGAACAAACACAAGTTGTTCTAACCTTGAATTTGGTTTGGCAATTTTTAATTCATTTTTACGCCCTAGGGCAGTGTGAAAACTTCTTATTCTTTTTACTTTACACCATCTCTCTTATTTCCAATCATCACTTTTTATTTTATCTAATTAGTATAGGACAGGGGTTTGTGGTAGTCGTAGAATTCTCGTGGCTTTAATCATGAACTGATATGAGCCAGATCACCATTAAAAATCAGCATGAACCGGACATCTGTTTCATCCCAGTATGGAACTCCTTGACAATCCCCCTCTATAATCTTTATTAGTTTGCGTATAAAGTCTTGAACAGCATTTGTGTGACCAGATTGTTAGAAATGTATGACGCGAATACACCATATTTTTCACATCAACTCCATCTTCTCGTTACACTATCGAGATTTTTTAGATATAATAATTAGACTGGCCATAAATTTTTTGAAAGTCACTAAAGCAAGAATTAAATGGTTACATTTAACATGTTGACAGAACCGCCAGTATCTAGAAGGAAAATGTTTAAAATAAAACGAAATGACAAATGATGCAAGATGTCTTTCAGTTTGGAGTTTCCGCACTTATTCAACTTCGTTAGGTATGTGGTTACTATGTTGGATAGTTTTACCAGTAATCATCCTATCTGTATAAAGTTTCGGATATTAGTTAGCAGTGGGGTCCAGAACGCGGGTTTCCTCCCACCTAGAACTCGTCAGCTGTATGTGCCTGGACTCGTGATTTTCACATCAGGACTCGAGCCTAGTGCTTTCTGATTCAAACGCCTCCAACACTATCAACTGTTTGAAAGGTCCTGGACTTGAATCCCGATGCGAACATTATCATGAGTACAGAAACATCCAGCCGATGAGCCCTGGATAGGACGAAACGTGGGTCCTAGGTTCCACTACTATCCACAATCTAAAAATGCTTGTGACTTAATAATGAAAACACCGAGGCAATCTACACAGGATGCTTACATGCCAAAGGAGACAGGTCCATAACGTCAATTAGAAAATTCAAACAACCAATAAAAATGAATAGGCGTTCTGGTGTACATCTCATAGAAACCAACCATATATTTGTATGAAGATGATAGTTTGTTCTAGGATTTTAACTGATTGCTCAGTTACTTCAAACCTATCCACTTATGATCAATATGTAATTAGACGAAAAGCACGGAGCAAGTAATCAGTACGATGAGATATCAGAGCATATCCCATTCAAAATACAATGAAGCAAAATACTCAACGAATGAGGTGAATTTTTCACGGATTTGATGTGTATAGTTGGTTTAATTCCATTATATAGAAAAATATTTTCTGAAACACTAAGTATAAAGTCCTTTTGAATCTCAACCACCAGTTATATGGATTATCCTTAAAGTGAGTGAAGCGCATAGTTAAAAAACTAATACATGAATGATATATCTGTTTCAGATCCAGGTTTCGAAGGAATCATGGCAAACGCCGAATGATTTTATTATATAAAAAAGATGCAACGACTTGCAGAAAAATCACATGATTAGAACAGAAGTACACTGTAAACTAACCGCCAACATTCAGAAATCAGAAGGAAATGTAAAAGACATGCTGGTGGTTCAGGCATAAACGACACTTGAATTAGGCTTGGGTCACTATGAGATTTTCTTGTTTGATCAGTGACAGTGGTAGTAGTAGTAGTAGCTCTGGTGCTTCGCTGACATGATTTAAGAATATTCAATAACTTGTGTAACAAATTTATGAGTAGGCATTCAAAATTTGAAAGTATATATGGCCATCCATAAAATTGTAAATATATAATGAATAAATGCAAACTACGTAAATAAATACTTGCACCCACTGTACCACGATCAATAATAAGATTATACTGATTTGATTTATTTTGTATAGATAAGTCACTAATTTGTGCATAAGGAATCAAATAACCGAATGAATTCGGATAAACTATACAAAGGCATAATGACCAAAATGAGCTCCAGAATATCAACCGGATAGCTTTGAAAACAAGTGATATCAGTGTGTCGAGTAATGTTCTAAAACTGGGTAACATATGATTGGAATGTAAACTATCAAGATTTTCCTGTAATTTAAAAAAAGAACACAGTTCACTTCTGTTATCCCATTTATATTAATTAAATAGGGTGAAAATTTTGCATTCGATTAAATGATTCCAGTATGATCAAAATAATATGCTATCCTGAGAATCGCTTTAGCATATTAGCTCAATAACGAGTGGTAAATATGAACAACTAAATTAAGTAGAAAGCTGAGGTTATATAACAGAAGTGTTTTGTTAAATATTCCAGTGATCTACTTGGCATAATATTTCATTGTCGATGTATGATGATTCTTGTTGGAATAGATAATCAAGGGGTTGTTTAAGTTGTTTCTTCCAGGTTTTCATAAAGATGATTGATGATATGACATTAATCAGTCATTTAACATACGAAAAAAATCATTTTATTTTGCCCTTATTCGGATGGAATTCCTCGTAGTGTCGGTCGCTATATCAAGCCCACATAGCTTATATTCTAGCTTACGGACAGACCAATTTATTCATTCTTCTTAAATCACATTTTGACCTTGTCAATTATTCGCTTATCAACCTTGACTTTTTATGTAAGCGTTTATGTATGCATTTCTTATCTTACTCATTACATGTCTGTAACTTATTTCTGTCTGACCATAAATTCCGATTCACGCCTTGTTAAATTAAGTTGGCTCACACGCCTTCACCATTGCGCGTAATTTGTTTTACTTCGCTTCCGATCAACGATTGTACGAAATAAACGTGTTCGAAATCCATTCTCGTACTTGACTTATTTAATTCCGGTATTCACCAACGCGATTTACGTCGATAATTATATACGAGGATTGGTGACATGTATATTTCAATAACAATAATTCATACTATCCAAATGGAATCAGATACAAAGCGCCACTATATCTTACAACAAAGTTTTCAGTAATGAAGTCGAATGAAGAATTACATTTAGAAATATAGCTTCTAAAGAAAACCCTTTGTTCGCGTGAGATTCTAATATATCCAATGTCACTAGTACAGTTCACATTGTAATGTGAAGTTTTGGCAAGTGTGCTGGTGGAAAATCAATTCAAAAGATCGTATTTCTTCCGTCGTTGTTATTTTACCAAGATATTAACTTGACGAATACGTTTTTCGCTAAAATTTTGCATGTAATGATGAAAGCAAATGTCAGTGTTTAGCGCCAAATTAGTATGTAAAGCATCATCAATTTCACGAATTGATTCCAAGTACAAGTAGTAATACGTTCATTTACTAAAATAAAAATATTAACGGGTATATTTTTTAAAACTACTTCTCTAGTGCCATCATAATTCAGACGAAAAATATTTCAGTGTCATATAAATGAAAGATTGACTATCATATACAACAGTATTCATGAGTAAAGTTACTATCACGTATTTAACGACTATATAAGATTGAATATAAATGCATCAAGACTTTTGGAAGTACTTCAGCCCACAGAACCACTCTTCAACAACGATTATGGTAAATGTGCAGTTAAACAGTCTAAGAATACATATGCAGTAACGCGAGTATAACCAATATTTCTGTTAAATATATGTATAATAGAAGGTGCTACAATGTATACTTATTGTATACTGGTAATTTATCTTTTGATGGATTAATTTAAATAACCGATAATAAGATACACTGTAAATAAACATGGATTTCGAATGTACTTTTTACTGGGATATTCAAAATCTGCCGTTCCTCGTTTTAGTGATATATTTCGGCAAAAACACCTTTTATAAAATGGCTTCTTTATTTACTGTAATCAATAAGTATATATATATATATATATATATATATATATATATATATATATATGCCGAGACTTGATGAAAATCAGTATGCTTGCTTGTTTTAACTGTAGAACAACTGGTAGTTACATTTGTGACTGAAAAATAATGGAGATTTGGATTCATAATTTACCGAAAATAAATCTGTAGATTCATAACCAAATCTAAATACATTGAACTGGGCGATCGTTGGCGTCAATTATTCACTAGCCTAGTACTTGTATATACTTTATAAGAGCAATAAATTTAACTGCTTTGACCAACATATATAACTAAAGTGCTAACATATATGTTGGATCTTTCTCATTAATATACATGTATGATCGTTTACAGAAGTTGGAAAATTATACAACAATGAAATAATATTTTTCTGAGAATGCTTACCCAGAAATTAAGCCAATTTGAATACAAGACAAGTGGACCTAACAGCAATGAATGAGGGTATAAAGAATAGTCTAACACATCCAATAAAGTTTCTAGTGAGGATTTAGGGGTATAGTTAATGATTGATTCCTCTTTTTCTGTCTTTTTAATAAAAGATGACTTAAAATTGTTCGAACATTTATGGAACGATAACGCCACACTTAAACTGCGTAGAACTATATAAAAATGTGCCGCATACAAGATCATATACCAGTCGTATGATACCAATCCAAGGTTAAACGTTGATTCCTGGTTTAAGCAATATATAAAACACAAAAAGAGAATTCAGCAAAGAAAATTTTATTTCCGACGAAATCATTTACTTAAGTTGTACATTCGTATATATAGTTATATGGAAATAATAATTGTTGACAAACATAAAAAATATTTACGTATGTTCACATATTTGTATCAATCCACAATTTGGAAGATACATCTAATGAATCAAACGGTTATCTATTAAAGAATAAAAAAGTTTTCAACAAAACGCCTCGGTTTTGCCTCTTAAAATTTGATTGCCGTTTTGTTTCTTACATTTAGGAATTTTAAGGATTTTGGACAAATTAGTTTCCATTCAAGTAATCGAAATTTGAGAAGATAACTTAATAAGAAAGGGTTTCTGGTGGATTTGATAAAACCTATCTGTAACTACAACTTTTCCACAAATAAACTCTAAGAGACAAAGTAAGCAATATGAGTTTAATCTTAATAAGAGATTATCATAAACCATTGAAATATCAATCTGATTAAAGTTAAAATTGAAATTGTTTGGAAGCTGTAATTGATGTTTATCACTATTACATATGAAAATAAGAACTAAGTGCTTTGTAATTTTAGATGATTTAGGAATTTCCATAGCAAAATGTAAGGATAAGTGGTTTGGTTTCTAGTAAAAATGAATATTTTGAAAACACTCATGATAATTTGTGCCTTAGAACAAAATCTTTGTATTTTAATGACCATAAACTTCCATAATAAGTTGTGAGCTACTTTGTAACACATTTTATACTTGCTTAATGGACATATCTGAGAAATCATTGAACTCTTATCAACTGCTATAATGATTACATTTGGATATGCTTCAATCTATTTTAATAGTTATTTCAGTCTTTTCAATATGCTATACATTAAATCTAAATAATTCCATTTTTTTGATGAAGCGTTTTGTAGCAGATTAAGTGGTCGTTAGTGCTATTTAGTTTGAGTCCTAACACACAAAGTATCAACAATACCTCCAAAATTTGGGTGGTCGCCAGTATTTTATATAGACAGATTCAGTCTTTTCACCGTTTGCAGAAAACTGTTACTTCAGTAAAATCAACACGAACTAAGTGAGAGCATATACACTTTAAATGTTTCCTATATGGGTTAAGAGTTGAAAATGCATACGATAGTGAGTCTAGTAAAAGAATTAAAAAGTTAACTAATATTATAGTTCGTTGAACTTACAAAGAATTCAGATGCTTGAAACACTAAAACCGCAAACGCCCATATCAAGAGACGATTTCCGGAGACCAAATAACTTATGCATGAAAAGCATAATATGTTCAAAAAGACGTCTATCAGGATTTTATAACCCACCAAATAACTGATTAGCCAAATTGATAATACTATTCGACAACATTTGAATATCTACACTGATTAAATAGAAACAAGCATGTAGTACTTTTTTGTTCATCAACGTAAAAACAAATGATGATACGATTGAATAGAGTAAGAGATAAGGTACAAAACTCATCCACAACGGAAGTAACGTCCACTGTAATTCAGCTGCATCTTGCATAAGCACCAAATTTTGAGTTAAACTAACATTTTTCAGTCGTAATAAATTTAGATTCACTGAATTTGTTATTATAAGTTTAAAAAATATTTCACCTGAACTTTTTGAAGAGATAAAAAGTTTATAAATAGAATAACTTGGGACAATTAAAGCTATGCCGACATACACAGTTCGTTCCAGAAGAAAAGATTCAGCCTTTACAGCCATTTCACTTTGAAAATAATCTAGGACATGAAAACTGAAGAACAAAAAGGAAGCTCAAAAATATCATGAACAGTTTCAAAATGATGATCATAAACTTAAGATTTTTGGGTACAATTTTTTCAGTAGATATGAAAGCCCAGTCTTTTACATGAAGACATAGAAATGAATAAACGCGAATGAGAAATATTTGGCAACTGTTATTTCAACTATTGGATGTAATAACCTGTATATTGTCAATAATATCCAGTTACGCAATTAGTTTCTACTCTAATTTTATCCAAATTTTAGGCTTAATGAAAAATAAATACGATAGCTGTTGAGTAGCAACTGAGAAAAAACTACAACTGTCACACAATAAGTACGGTTTGATGAAATCTGACCACATGTATTTTTGCTTTGACAAAATGCTACTAGAAGTTCACAGACAACCCAACTAAATGTTTTTAAATGCTTAAAATAATAGGAACGTTTCTATTATTTAAGGATGACTTCCAAACAATAACTTAAGATGTGACTTAAGGTTTGTAGGAGACGCTCGTAAACTGTTTATTTAAGCCTTTTGAGCGACTAGACAATACGGATTGTCTCTCGTATTGTTAGTTTATCTTACAACCAGCTACACGAATTCATTTGTGAGCGATTTTTTTAACACTAAATGTTTAGTCAGTGTATTCACTATTGTAAAATACATCAGCCCAAATGGGTAGCTAAAAGCTACAATTGAGTGTAGAAGCATTTATAACTTAGCATTTTGACTGCGTGGTCACTTTTTATGGGAGTGACTTTGTGGTTAAGGCAATTTACTTTTAGCCACAAGGTCACATGGCGAGGCTCTTCCTTACCATACTTAGTTTGAATAGTCAAAGAGTATTATAATTTGTGGGTAAAACCTAAATACACTTAACTATAAATAAACACATGGTTGGTGATGGGGTCATCATCCAACGTTATTTCGATTAATTTGACGATAATGAAACCAGGGACACAAACTTTGAGAAAAACCGAAGTGTTACAGATGAAAGCTATATGATTCTTTTTGTCTAATAAATAAGTAATTTTCCGGAAGGTTCTCCACAGACATCACATACTGGAAGTTTAGTTGTGTGATGCCTTCTGAACATCGCCCCCCGTAACACTATATAATTGAACCGAAATCTTTGTTCATTGACTCCTAAAGAAACAAAGTGGATGTTGTGGAAAAAGGAGAGGAAAAGTGTAGAAAAACTATAAGGATGGGAATAATGTGGTGGAGGAACTTTAGTATACGTATCACACTTAATCCCTCTCTGATTACTTATCACTTGAGTCTACTACGACCTAAAATTCAACGAGCTTCCGATTTTCACTATTTTGAGGAAAATTTTGTCCTGTTGAAGTAAATTTTTAGGAAACCGATATAGAAAACCTTGGGGACGGACGTTTCGGAGAAACGGCACAAAAAACCCAAAATTTCCATAGAACTAGGGAAAATCCTCATAATGTTTAAAACATTTTTGGGTTTGCCGCAATATTCCCACAGAATCTAGTAACACTTTGGGTACTCTCACAAAAATTTCTTTAAGCTTTTGGAAAAGCTACTATATCTCTTGCGACTTTCGGGAAAATCACGGAATTCACCCAAAATTTCCCCAACATAATGAGTTTGGGTTAATTAGGTAAAACAAACAAGTATCAAAAATCACGAATATAAAAAAATTTGTAGCTAAACACTGTTTTAAGAACAAACTTAGCATTTTCAAAAAAGTTTTCCCTATTTCATACACATGTATTTGATGCATTGTTAAGTTATATCATTTATATAAAACATATCTAAGTACTTCGAGAGCTAAGTCCCAATCAGTTTGAAAACCATCAAAAACAGCAAATCAAATGAGTTAATATTTTAATTCGAAACCGCATGTGAATATACAAACTGGAATCATTACCCAAGTAGACGCGTTAATTATATAACAAAATTAAATTACCCACAATAAGACTAGCAATTCGTTGTTCAATATGCAATGCTTATACAGCGATCCAATCTGAAAAAATTGAATTCGTTGATCAACATTTTGAAATGAAAAAAAAATAAGTCTTTTATGTTTATTCGTATAAGTAGAATGATTAAGCAGGTATTGCAATTTTCACTTACATTTATAAACAAATACCATTAGTAATTTCAATAGTTGACATTAAGAGTCGATTGAAGCTAGACCACCATGGAAAAGTTTAGGATTCCTCAGTTAGACATTAACATTATCGGATGCCAGCCCAATGGTTCGGAGGTAAAGCGATCGCGTGCCAGACCGATATGTCCTAGCTTCGAACCTCGCGAGGCTGGATCGTGGATGCGCTCTTCTGAGGAGTCTCACAAAAGAACGAAGGGACCGTCCAGTGCATTCAGTGTTTTTCATGACGGTGTGGCTTCAATTAAATCCTAATCTCAACTATTAAATTACTATGAAATCCACAAAAAACTATCTGTGAAATCATCATATTATCACTATCGGCGAATGAATTCGAAAGAAATTGATCGTAATGGATCGTAGACTGTTTGTCATTTCGTGTGCTGTAAAGGTTTGTTACGTCACGAATGTGCTCTTAGAATAGTTGTAAGAATCATGTTTGCTATGGTCTTGAGTTCAAGAATTAGTCGCACTTTGTAGGACTTAACTCATCTGGAGAAACAAGAGACGAGCGGTCAAATTAATCGGCGACCTCTTTTAGTAATCACTATTCGCATGCGTTCCTAGTACTTGAACTTTTGAAAGATCCAAAATTTATTGCATTTCAGTCATCTTTGTTTTCAAGTGCCTGACATTTCTTTCGGAGTTCCACTGTTTGTATAGCTGAAACTCAAACTTTAAGAATGACAAAACCGCACAATGTGTTTATATCAGTCCGCATTCAATGGCATTTTAAAGTTTGTGAAGTCTTCAAGTGATAAAATGTTCCATGTTACTAGTTTTTATATGTCCAATAATTCAGATCACTCCGGTCTTTTACCACGATTTGTGAAATGGGAAAATTAAACAGTTTATTACAGTGATGAAATATCAGAACATCGTTAGGTTGTTATCACAATACACATAAACTGCGAATTAACATTTTAAATTTAATTTATCTGGAACCGGGTCTAAAGTGCTTACACGGGATGTTTCTCTCACATCAGCAGACTGAAAATGACGTTAAAAAATGGGCTAAAATTGTAAAAACCAACGTCGTAAGTATATTAGTTCATAATTTCCATTAAATGTCAAAACGGTGTATTTAACCATCATGTTTCGAGACAGACATCGGCTTTTTACTTACGTGAATACTATTTCGATTCAAAATAAGTTAATAAACAATTTATTATTTATTGCAAATTTGGTGGCACCATAAAACAAATAAAAAAGTGGTGTAGATAGCATGTACGTCAATGTTTTATTATTTATTTATGATTTAATACTCGAAGCCTATGATTGTCAAACCTGTAATGCTCGGTTAATATGCATTATAAACATTAACTGAACTTAGAATAATTAACATCTTTAGCCAAATATCTTGAAACAAGAGTAGTGAAAAACTGTTTTTCTATATTTAAGAACTAGAAATTGCACAGAAAATCTTTCGAGTGATAGATTTTGTTTGTCTCTACAACCTTGAGCTTATTTCATTATTCGCCATCGAATAGTTCGGCGCGTCATTTGAAGTCACGAAATAAAGTAATGTTGGCTGACGGTGTTCCCCCAGGTGAGGTTTCACTTACCTGCCTTTTTGTTTACTTTGGTTTTTTTGTTATCAAGTTTGATCTATATCTTCATCATCTTGATTTCTGGCCATTTAAAATCATATGACCCTTAAATCTACCTGATGTTCCAAATCCACATGTATTCGTCACTTTACTTTTACATTTCAAATTGTTCTGGGTACTTCTATAAGATCTCTATGTAGAAGCTTACGAATTATTCACGTTTTCTATTGACTTACCAGTTACATTCTACGGAGTGACTTGATTTTATCCACTTATGTTTGTGTGAAACGACAATAAATCTGTATTTAGGTCACCAAATTTCGAAATCTTACTCAGTTGGCTACTGTACACTTAAACAATGTCCGTTGGGTTACCACCTGGACTGATTCACTGTCAAGGGTTTTGTGAAATCGAAGAAAACAAAATTTTTGGTACATGCCTAAAAGGTTTTTATCCTTTTAAATCCTTTGTTTATCACTCCTTTTTGCTATTATCGCATAACTGTTTCTCTCGAATAGCGGTTATTCAGGATTATGGTATTCATCAGACATATTCATTTAACTTTCCTAATTGTCCTGTGAGTAGCTCAAACTGTTGGGCATATTATTGTTATCTGTAATACTTTCAGTTTCCTTTAATCCTAACTTCATCCTGAAACTATCCCTTCTTTGACTCTGAAGTTATGAGGTGTAAGTTTCACTCATCAATAATACTTGTCATGATTGTTAATGCACACTTCGTATAATCTTATTGGACTTGTGTAGCTGTGTCAGTACTCAATAGTTTAATGGATTCGACAGCAAACTAGTTTCGATAACCGCCTACTAGATACCATATACATAGTTTTGCTTTTGTGAAGATATTTAAAGCTCACGCAGTGTATTTCAAGCCCTTTTCTTTTGAGTTAATTATCGGGGTTTTCTCTAGACTGTCGAATATGCTCGTAGTTGTGGTTACATTCTGCTTATGAAGGAGGTATAGTTGGTAAGGTGTAGGCTAGCTTTGAAAATGTAGTCCGTTAACTGAGGATAGACTGTTCAGCTTAATTCAATCACATTATGTGGGGGATAATTATGCTACGTCTCGTCATGAAATTCGTCAGATTTATGCTGAAACTAGTTACCCTATGACATTGGTTCGCTCAACTTAGCGGAGGTAAGATAAACTTCGGATCACTATCCTGAGTAAGGCATTAAGCACACAAAACTGAATAGTTGCCACGGAAATATACATTCCGTTGTAAACCAAGAAACAATGTATTGTTGCAGTGTATTCACTTTTTACTAGACATCTGTATATCTTGCCTATGCGGAAAGCGGCGTTGTTTAAAACAATGTGGATCTTTCAATCTTCACCAAAAATCAAATACTGACTGAAAGACACTTGTCCAGTAATAAGTTGCTCGACTACTGCACGTTTAGTGACCATAAC